AGATAGTATGCAGCAGAGAGGGTTCGGCACAGCCAGGCTGGTAAGGCTCATCATCAGCTCAGGGCCCTTGCCCCCTCTACACGCAGCCCAGGCAGCGAATGGGACTTCTCCCAGGAAACGCTGCCTAGTCGAAACCCACCAAGAACTTTCCGGAGAATATGTAGACTCCCCAACAATGCAGCCTTCTGCATTACCCAGAGTGTCAGAACGGATGTGCTCCCGGTGGAGAACCCGGGCACTCTCCTGATCTGCGCCAAGAGATCAGGAGGTACCAAACCAAGGGCACCGAGAACAATGGGGAGTCTGACGACAGTGTACTTGGGATGCAAGCGAGACATTTCAAAGGCGAGGTCCTCATATTTATCATGAGTTTTCCTGAATCTTGCAAATCACATTGCTGTCAAAAGGGACAGAAAAGTCAATGATATAAATAAATTCATTGGATTTATCAAAAAGGACAAGATCAGGTTTGTTGGCAGGAATTCTTCTGAGGCTGTATATGGGCCTATTGCAAAGAAGTTTGAAAGCATCATTTTCCATGACGCCCTGGACATGTTCAGGGTCGTACCATGGATGGACCTCAGAGTCAAAGCCACAGGCATGGCGAAGACGGTAGTAAAAGCAGCGAGCCATGCCATCATGTCTCTTAAGATATGTTGTTTGTGCCAAGGAAGGGCATCCACTGACAAGGTGTTGGACAGTCTCTGTAAATTGATTACACAGTCGGCATTTCATGTTAATATTTTCTTTAAGAATCACATTTTGGCGATTGCGAGTGGGAAGAAACTGGGCCTGAGCAGCAAAAAGGAAGCCCTCAGTTTCACATCTAGACCAGCCGACTTCATCCAGGCGAAGGAGTCGGTGGGATTGCTATTCTGTTCCACACTGCATGTACACACGATGCAATGGCTTCTCAGAAAGCTTCTCCACAAAAGACCAACTCTGGGCAGACTTAGTGAAGGACTTCACCTGGTTTACTCCCATCGCTGTACCGTCCAGCAGTACATCGCCATCATCAAAATCAAGTTTCAGATTCTGTCCAACAACCTTGGCACGCTTAAATTAGCTGTGGAATTCCTTGCTTTCATCGTGAGTCTTGACATGCATCACCAGAGGATCATCCGATAAATAAATATGTGCAAAAGTACACAAAAGAATTCTATCATGAAGAGCCTCCACATTAATCAAACCCCGACCTCCAGAATTGATTGGCATATATAAACGGTTAAGAGAGGAACGAGGGTGGTGAGCTCTGTCATCAGACTTGATCCTTCTGGTCAGGCGGTGAAGACTCTGGATGTCTCGTTTTGTCCAATCAACTACTCCAAAGGAATAGGAAAGGACTGGCACAGCAAAGGTATTGGTGGCTTTGACCTTGTTTCCAGCATTTAGCTCTGAACTCCAGATTTTCTTTAGGCGAGATTTATACTCGGCACGAAGTTTGTCTTGAATTTGGGCACTCTGGAGCTTGTCTCGAACTTGCATTCCAAGATAGGTGTAGGCCTGATCTTCCACAAGATGCTCAATAACCCCTCCCCTGTAACTTTGCCGATCCACCATTAACTACCTTGCCACGTTTCAAATGAAGAGTATTACATTTGTCGAGTCCAAATGTCATGCCAATATCATTAGAAAAAGACTCGACAAGGAGAACCTGTTCTTTCAAATTGGTATCTCCTTTGGCAAGGATCTCGATGTCATCCATGTAAAGGAGATGAGTAAGTGGTGTTGGGGATCTGTGCTGGGGAGGTCCGGGATTGTAACCCTCATCCCTATTGAGCAGAAAACTCAAAGGATTTAGAGACAAACAAAAAAGCAAAGGACTGAAGGAGCACAGATAAATAAACAATAGCACTTCCTTGGACCAGTTGCTGTGATGGCAGACACGGCTAAGAGGGATGACCAGTTAAGGCAATAAATGTCATATACAGTAATCAAAGACAGTGACAGAGTGGTACAGGGTGGCTGACAAGTCAATGCCCATTGCCTTAGTGATGAAGGTTAAGAATGCAGAGTAAATGATTACAATTCAGTCCCACATGGCATGGCTACATAGTTCTTGGTCTTTAGAAATATTTGGACGATTGCTGTCCCGAATTAGTCGCTGTGACAATGGTAATAAGAATGAGACAAAGTTGTTCTACGTGACTGATATACGACTTCTAGAAATCCCAATTAAGCCTAAGTAGATCACAACTCGTCGACCTTTGATCAAGACACCGGGTCTGTCCCAGAATTAACCACAAACGTGACAATCAATACGTACTTAAAATCAACAACATTCTCTGTACAACAGGCAGCTTAAATACAACCAATTGAAGCAAACACATTATTATTGTTAGTCATGAAAAGTTTTCATTAAGTCACAGCTCAGTTCCTTTTGGATTTCTAATCATGTGTGGTCTACAGAAACATACGCCTGCCTAAGAGTCGACTTAATGGATCGTGTTGTCTATCTCACTTACTTGGAAGATGCAGGTGGTCATATCTCAATTGCGTACATCGATGCTCATGATGTCAGTCACTGGATTGTCTGTTCAAGACTCATCACCAACATATTTTAAGCTGACGCTGCTGTAGGGCACGGAGGCAAAGTTGTAACTGTTCATGTGACACTTGCTGACATGCGTCGCTCGTGAAACCACCACCACACCTGGAGTCGGAGGGGACAAAAACAACCCCTCTACCCACAACAACGCCTGCAGAGCTAACATCTCTAAAGACCTTGGACCCATGAAGATCCGGGTTAGAACTGATATTTAGTAACCAATGCTTGTCGTAAAAGGAGACTAACGGGATCGGGTGATCAGGCTCGCTGACTTAGTTGCGTAGACCGATGTTCATGCTGTTGATCACTGGATTGTCTGGTCCAGACTCGATTATTTACAGACTACCGTCATATAGCTGGAATGTTGCTGAGTGCGGCGTAAAACTAAACTTACTCACTAAAGACACTTTTCTCACAGATGTGTTGCGGATAACATAGAAATATCAGTGTTCTCTCGGTTCTGGTCCAAATAGACTTTAATATTTGTATTCTAAGTAGCCGGCACACAATGGAGACCGGCTTCTACACACTGGCAGTCCAAGTAAATTTGAAGTTCCAGTGAGCGAAGATAGCCTGTGCTAATTTTGCGATTAGGGCGATGGCGTCACTTCCGAGTTTGGTTTAATGCTGAACGTTTACCATCTTGGTGAAACCAACGGACATGGGAATGGTGCCGACAATGGCGAACCGGGATCCAAACCCTATCGATACTACAAGCCGTCGTAGAACAGGTGGATCATCACGTTTACAAGCACTCATCACATTAATGGTATCTTTAAAACCATCTCAGATTAGGTGCACGGACAAAAACCTCTGTGCGTTCACGCACAGTGATATCCCAGCATTATGAGTGAGTGGGTTTAGTTTTACACGGCACTCAGCAATATTCCAGCTATATGGCAGCGGTCTGTAAATAATCGAGTCTGGACCTGCCAATCCAGTGATCAACAGCATGAGCATCGATCTGCGCAATTGGGAACCGATGACCAAGTTAGCGAGCATGACCACCCGATCCCGTTAGTCGCCTCTTACGACAAGCATAGTCGCCTTTTGTGGCAAGCATGGGTTGCTGAAGACCTATTTTACCCCGGATCTTCACGGGTCTCCAGCATTATGGGGGCAGTTTGGAAACAAATGGACCAGACAAATAATTGTCAGCACTGAGTAGGAGTGAGGTAAATGTTGCTTTAAGCCGCATCAGTATTAGGGCTGCAACGAACCACCAAGACTTCGATTCGATTCGATTTTCGATATTGGACCCTCCATTCGATCATTTTCGATTCGATTTTTTATTTAAGTAAGAGCATCAGATTTCATTTAACTCTCATAGTTTATTTATTAAAGAAAACACATCCCACTGAAAATTTATTCCAAGATTTGAATAGGAAATCAGGGATGTAAATGATGTAACCTTTTTCACACAAATAAAATATGATATTTAAACACAGAACAGCACTTTTCACGTTCTTGTCCCCATGTCAAGGGCCATAAACGTTAATAAAGTAAAAATTACAAAAGTCAAATATGTGGAAACAAATTAAATAGATATTCAAATATCGAATCGAAATAGTGAAAATGGTTATCAAAAATCGAAACTGAGGTGTCAGATTCGACTTTCGATGAATCTAACTCGTTGCAGCCCTATTCAGAATATTATAATATTGAAAAATGTCCAATACAATCTGGGTACACATCACATCTTAGCAGTAATTAGCTGCGTGAAAAAAGAATCCACCTTATAGGGACAGCACAAACATTTTGTTTGAAAACTTTCTTAAAGACACAGTGGAATCATAACTTGGGGGGGCTGGACTGACTGGGATCCATGCCAATATACAGCTGTCAGAGGGATACAAGTGTAATCCAGTTTCTGGATGCCTGGTTCACTGAAGAGGTCAGATCCCCTGACTTGGGTACAAACAATTGGCTGTCTCACTCTTGAGACGCAGAGACTTACCACAAAAACACAGAATGTGTACTTTACTAAGTGTATTCTCTGGGATATATCTTATGTTATGCTCTTTCTATAAATAAGATGTTTCATACCCTTCTCCTTAAAGATTCATAATTGTGAATGTTGTTAACCAAAGCACTTAGCAACATTCAGAAACATGTTGGCTAAAAATGCATTGGAATAGTCCATCCTTATTGAAGGGAAGTTTGTAATGATCCAAGTTAGAGTTAGTCTTTAGTAACCTGTTCTTGTCCCCACAAGGTGGTCAGGCTTGCTGACTTGGTCGACACATGTCATTGTATCCTAATTGTGCAGGTCAATGCACTAGACTGTCTGTGCCAGACTTAATAAATTACAGACCACCGTCATATAGCTGGAATATTGCTGTATGTGACCAAAAACAACAAACAATCTCAGCGAAAATGCGGCATGCACTATTTTGACAACTTGAACTACATCCCATCCCCACTCAAGAAAGGCATAAAAGACAAAACATTCTTGTCATCATAGAAAAATATTCCAATTTTATTTTTTCAAAATACAAAAGAACATGGCTGATGCCAAGTGTATCATGACTTGGTCTGTGTAGTTTTCTTAATTCTTCCTGAAATATTTTTGGCAAAACCAAAAAGCTGTCAAAATTAAACAACAAGAAATGCATATTATCTAATCAATCCATCACTGAATTACTAAATCATAAATTTTGCTGCCTACTTTTTCATAACAAAAGCTTATTACATTCTTCAATAATAAAATATACAAAATTACATTCTTAAACTTAGCAAACAAAATCATTTATGTTCAATCACGACCACATCTGATCAGAAGAAGAAGCATGGACTACAAAACATGTATTCTGCATAATGTGAAACATTATCATGACAAGTGTTTCAGTTATCATCAGCCTCCATTCTACTGCTGGTACATTTCAAAGTCTCTGTTTCATGAAAATGCCTAATGACACTTTATAAACCAATGTTTCTAAGGAAGCCTTAAACAGGTAACCAATGCCTATGTAAATATATTTACACAAAATATTCCATGATACTGAAACATGATAAGAAATGGCTTGAGTTAGTCAGGGACGTAGCTAGCACCCTTGTACTATACCTCCAAATCAAAACACAGTTGTTCCCATGCTATCAAAAACAGAAGTCTTCTGTAGATACACAGAAACATAAAATTACTGGTAAAATGTTTTAAAAAATTAAATCTTAAATTATATGATCAGCTGAGGATATGAAAATGTCATTCTTTTTTAAAAGAAACTTCAGAACACCAACATTTCAATGCCATTTCAGTTGTTTCATGAAGGTTTATTGACATGGTTCTGAGGATGAAATGTTCGCTAAGTCACTGCACCAGTACATCAAGTTGTGATTCCATTTCGGTGTACGTCTCCAGAGCTACCGTTAGCTGCCATTTTATATTCCTCTTCTTTCTCCTCCTTGTCTTTTAAAAGTTTGCCAAGTTTTGTATACTTGCTGAGAATTATGTAACAGTAGCTCTCGTAAAACACAGGATCCTCGGGTGAAGTCTCGTCTACCTCATATCTGCAAAGTATTAAATAAATTTCATGTGGGTTGTTGTATATTGTGATCAATGATCCACATCAACGGAATAAGATGATCTGCAATTTACAAAAACACTTTGAGCATCTAATTCATTGAGAAGTAAGTGAGCGAGTTTGGTTTTACGCAGCACACAGCATTATTCCAACTATATGGTGGCGGTCTGTAAAATAATCTGAGTCAGGACCAGACAAACCAGTGATCGACAGCATGAGTATCGATCTACACAAATGGGATATGATGACATGTGTCAACCAAGTAACCCATGCATGTCGTAAGAGACGACTAACGGGATCGGGTGGTGAGCTTTGCCGACTTGGTTGACATGATATCAAATCACAATCGATGCTCATGTGCGGCGTAAAACTAAACTCACTCATGTTCTGAATGTTGCAGTTACTTACTTCAGTTTGCTTGTGAAGAAGTTGTATCCTTCCAAGTTGTGTTTGAAAGTAGTCAGCATCACTTTCCTCATTTCATACCTGCGGACAAAGGGGAACAGTCAAGTTATGATGATACAAAAGGACAATAACCTTTGTCATTTTACACTGTTTGAAATTGTGAATTGTTTATGTTTAAACTGTTTAATTGATCTGGGTTTCAACTTTGTCACTTACTTAAAGAAACTGAAACGACTTCAACTTGTTTTCATTTCATATAAACTATACATTCATTTGGGAAAATGACTTCAAATGAAGCAATTCAAGGAGAAAAAACTATTGCAATACTATTTCAATAGTTGGTCGCAATAGACTATCGCTATCGCAATATAGTGGACTGTATAATCCGACACCTGAATTATCCGACAATCTGTCAATTCCGACATCTTTTTTTGGTCCAGCAGCGCTTCTTCTACAGTATCATAATTCAAACATTGAATTATCCGTCATTTGTACATTTGGAATTCCGACACCATTTTCTGGTCGGAATGACACTATTAATCTGTACAATTGGACATCGGCTCCCAATAATGTACTAAAACCATCGCCATTGCGACAGTTGTTTCCCCCTTAATAGTCACCCCGAAAAAAGTCACATTAGTTTATTCATATAACAAGTGGCACTGGAACCTGTTATCACCGAGAACCCCCACAGGAAACCATATATGCTGGAATATTTGAATCTTCAAGCCAACATCCTTTGAGTTCATGATCAAAATAATTAGCAGGTCACATTTGCTGATTTTTCTATTAGACAGCTAATGACTATTACCAATTACTGGTCAATACCAAACTAGCCTTGTATTTGTTTCTAGGTGGAGAAATGTACTTCAGTCAACTATGTTGTTTGTTCCCTTCTCCAGGTGTAACTTTACAATCTAAGTGTATGCTACTTACTTGTTTGCCATTAATTCGATGATCTGTGTTAGGAATTTACCCAAGCCCTTCTTGCGAACATCCTTTATCAACTGGATTTCATATCTGAAACGAAGAAGGGTTATCCAAAGATGAAACTAAACAGGGACTACTAATACTAAAACAATGTGAATAATTATATTGCACTAGATACCCTACACGAGGAACATGCTCAAAGCAGTAAAACTGCTCAATGGATTAGAGTGTACATAGAGAATACTACACGAGGTCTCATTGCATACGAATTATACGAAACGAGTATCCTTCCTATGGTATCTGACCGAGGGAAAGCAAGGTCAGAAACCATAGGAAGGTCACGAGTTTCGTATAATACGTATGTTATGAGACCGAGTGTGGTATTTTATTTATTACCCATGTCTTACATGCATTAAATTGACAAAACAGCGTATTTTGGTTATTGTTATGGTTTCATAAAGAGGTTGCGGAAGAATTTTGTTCTGTTGTTCACTTTGCATGACGTCACACTGTATTGACGTCACTACGCCTTGCTCGTCTGCTCCCTTGGTAACCTGACGATGCATGTCAGTTGTCATCGCCTCGTACAGCCTCCTACATTAAACTACTCCGTAGCACCCTGTTTCTTAGTTTGCAGTTATATGTTCACTTTTATTTTTATGCTGCTCCACTCAGCAATATTCCAGCTACATGGTGGTGGTCTGTAAATAATCGAGTCTGGAATCCAGTGATCAACAGCATGAGCATCGATCTACGCAATTGGGATATGATGACATATGAACACCCAATCCCATTAGTTGCCTCTTACAACAAGCATGGATTGTTAAAACCAATTCTAACCCAGATCTTTGAGGGGTGGCTAATTTCTTTCCCTGCAATCTGTTTCCTAAACTGAAACCTTCCTGATGAAGCAAAACCCCTGTAAGAATCAACCTCTACTGTCTATAATCTGTGATAGGTTTTGTATGATGACTTACAAGTACAACACTTCGTCATCACACTCAATGTCGAATCGGAAGTGGACAAACGCAACTGGTTTATTCTCCTGGTCTCGGGCTAACAAATACCAAGCCTTGTCTTCTGTCAGCTCCTCCTTCTTTTCCCTATCTTTCCAGCCCCATTCACAAGATTCGTATCTGAAACAGAACACAACACTTAAATTCAAGGGCTTGAAATCAACGCAAGTCCAAGACTAGTCAAGACAGGACTAATGACATTTCTTGCAGACTGCCACTTTAGCCATTAGGTGAGTTTGGTTTTACGCCGCTTTTAGCAATATTCCAGCAATATCACGGCCGGGAACACCAGAAATGGGCTTCACACATTGTACCCATGTGGGGAATCGAACCTGGGTCTTCGGCGTGACGAGCGAACGCTTTAGCCACTTGGCTACCCCATCGCCCCTTAGCCATTAGGTAGATGATATCTGGGTAGGTGATATCTGTGTAGATGTTTGTATTAAATCACATTGCTAATTCATACATTCGCTTTCCATCTTTCATATTCACCCTAGTCAGTCTGCCTGCCTGAGTGAGTGAGTTTAGTTTTACGTTGCACTCAGCAATATTCCAGCTATATGGCGACGGTCTGTAAATATTCGAGTCTGGACCATACAATCCAGTGATCAACGGATTGAGTATTGATCTACACAATTGGGATACGATGACATGTGTCAACTAAGTCAACGAGCCTGACCACCCGATCCTGTTACTCGCCTCTTACGACAAGCATGAGTTACTGAAGATCAGTTCTAGCCAGGATCTTCACGGCCTGTGAATACAAAACTGTGCTAAGGACAACTAAGATTTAAAGTAGGCCTGATTGACAGGTAGCATGTGCAGACTAAAATTCACAACCAGTTCTCACTGCTTCAGTTCGCTACAAACTGGAACTGAATAAAACTGATAGAAAGTGTAAGCATAGTTATCATTTTTGTTTCATTTAAAGTTACAAAGTCGGAGCGCTTCCACTAGTTCTCTTGACTAGTCCTTTAAAACAAAATAATTTGAAGTCTGCCTTCATTAACTGGAATCTAATAAGAAACCGTCAGAATAATAACTATGAACAGATAAGAAATCAAGTGGGCCAGTTTCTGAAATACTTACAATGACTTCATGTTATCTCTGGTCAACTGGAAGATCCATTCTATTGTCTCTTCGTCCAAATCTGTCACTTTTTTGCACTCAATTTTTACACTCAACCTGTGGGATACGAAACTCATGGTAATCTCAATAATCTTGGAAATTATAGGAAAAGGTCAGAGAATCTGAGCGTCAGTTTGAGAGGCAAGTCATTAAAATAGTGCAACCAACAAACTTACATTATTTCACCATTCCCATTATTTCATCAGCGATAGAGCTACAATCAGGGTTTTACACAGACTTTGGAAAAAGAGAGTCATGGTGACTCGCAGTATTTATTTTTGGGAGTCATGAAAATGTCAGTGTGATATTTAGGTGTGTATATCAAAATGATTGTTGTTTTCTGTTGTATTGTCATTTATATTTTAGTTAATAAGTAGTATATTTTTCACAGTTCAGTTCAGTCATAACAAACTCCAGTATACTGAACAAATAATCAGGCTTGTGATTTATTCACTGTAACATATGGTTATTAACATGAATTGAAAGAAATATCTAAACCAATGAAGATCTCACGAAAACTATCATTGTTTGCTTATCAAATCGATTTTATTGAACTGAATTCTGAGGGTCACTCATAAAACTTGCATCAAGCTTGACTTGTATGAGTAATATTTTGAGAGTCTTTTACACAATTGTTGCGTCAAATACGCAGGAATCACGCATCATGTAAAACCCTGTACAATTTTTGTATCCCTTTAAAACTCTCCCTTGATCATGACTGATGTTTCTAAACAGTCTTCTGTTTATAGAACAAACAAAGAATGGCCAGTACTTAGAAACCTTGCCATATATGGAATGTAAATAATTGCTCCATACATTAAACACTGTCGCACGCTGCGTTTGTCAGCATTTGCTGAACTGGTTTCAATCACAAGTTGTACGTAGGATATTCGTAAAGAGCACTCCAAGGGACATAACTCTATGGGGTTCGCTTGAAATAATGTTCGGCTGGTCGATGGCACGACAGTCAATGTAATGCAATGTTGCATTAATTCATTCAGACTTTTTAATTTAATATTGTTATCTAAATAAATAATTTTCTTTGAATAAATTATATGGTAGCATCCATGAGTGCTGATAGTTAGTATTATTGAGGGAAATGCATTATCTATTTTTAGAGAAGTGTAGTATGATATAGTGCCTTTAAACATAAGGAGACATATCTCATCACTGCCAACAGGTTGTCTGAAGGACAAAAATTTGAAATGACCATGAAACTTACCCATTTCTTTCATACTTTGTGAAAACAGGAAAAGGAGCCAGTGGATCCCCAAGCTGAAAGGAAGACGCCAAGTTCTTTTATTAGTCATAACAAACACAAACCAGGTTATTATGATCATGTTTACATGAATGCCAATATCAAAATCAGTCGGCATACAAACATGATATCTTGAAACGATAAATTTTGACCATATTTAACATTATATCCTTTCGGATAACTCATAGTAAGTCGGCATACAAATATATCTTGAAACGATAAATTTTCACCATATTTAACATTATATCCTTTCGGATAACTCATAGTAAGTCGGCATACAAATAAATCTTGAAACGATAAATTTTCACCATATTTAACATATCCTTTCAGATAACTTATAGTGAAAATTATACGGAAAGACATCCGCCCATATCCCCCCTCAACTTTCATTCTATTCAAATGATATCACCTGAATATATATTCCTCATCTGACAAGGATGAGTTTTAACATGTTTCTTTAATTGTATCTGAACATACTGAAAGACATACATTGTATCCAACTTCTAAATATGCCACTCAAAGAAATCTTTCCTCATCATTAAAATTTTGGTGGGATAGGGGCGGAAGTCTTAACAATTATACAAATGAAACAGGAAGAACTAAAATGTATGAGTCTATGACAGACCTTATTACAATATGGAGGTGGGTTAGAGAGGAAGATTTGCCAGACATGTACATGCTGTATGACACAAAATAAACAATATTTGCAATTTTGGGAATGAAAGTGAAAAACCGTTTAATAGCAGTTGCTATTTAGATAAGAAAAAATAATTTACAAATTAAAGAGGGAGGTCTTATGTTTATGAAGTTTGCTGATGTAGGGACACCCAAATCTTCAGTTTTCAACAATGGGGTTATAGCAATGATCCTTTGATGCTGGTTGGGGTCCAAACAGTAAACATGGACTTCAATGAATGTAACTGTGGTAATGGTTGTACATATTTCTATGCACAAATAGGCTGCACTTTGAATAATTAAACTGAAAATGAATCAGCATGCATTGTGATGGATTATACCACTAAAACAGTTTGGAGTTGCACATGTTACTGGCTTAGATAACCAAAGGATTATATTTCCATTAACTGAGGAAGTTAAAGCCAACTACGTAAACCAAATACTTACTTTATTTGCGGTTTCAACTTTCTGCATGGATACAGCCAATTTGGCATTTTCCTGGAAGAGAAATGTTCATTTAAATGTCAACTTACACGTTAAATTTATATTTTAATATATAATTTTTAAAGGAAACATGTTTTTGAAGACTGTGACAAATTGTTGTTGTTGTTGTTTTTTGCATAGATCACCCTGTTTGGTTGAACCATGTTGGAAAAACAGTTGAAGAAGAAACAACTCGCCATCAGTCATGAACAAACGTACATACCTCCTTTCTCCTCAACTTCTTCTCTTTCCCTTTCGCTGATTTTCTCTGCAATCATATGGTAAACGAAATGTGATTTAATCAGCAAAGTTGTTATGTCTGCATTGTAAAGGAGTTTATGTTGGACTGATAACTTTTACTACCAACGCGGTAAATTTCTGTCTTTCCGTGTCACCAAAATATGTTAAAACTTTGATGATCGTTTGAAACTCGTCCCTTGTCATTTACAAAAAAGTTCGCATAAGAATGGAATAAGAACATCAACAGCCTAGAAAACAGGGTAATAACGAAACATTTTAACTTACACCCATGTTTCTTTTCACTCAAATACGTTCTGAAAACACGCACAATGACTGCTACTCTTTCCCGCGGTATTTCGGGGCGAAGAAAAGCGCATGCGTGTGTAAGGGACCTAACTCGTCTCATGATGTATTATACTGCCCGCGTAAAATAGTGTCTTTAATATAAGATCGAACAATTCGAGGCTTGAGCTATTGTTTGATAAATACAAAACGACTCGGACATTTCAATAACCGAAAATGACCCATTTCTCAAATACTGCACTTGGTAAATTTCAAATTATTTGACTTGTTCCGTATAATAGGCATTTCTTGCAAGTTGGTGGATGACGAAGTAGACACAACTTCTTCGTCTAGATCTTTAATAACAACGGATCAGTTAAGTTTTTCAGGATTTTGTTTGTTGTTTTTCATTTTTCTGTTGACCAAAATTACTTTTAAAGAATATAATGACACGTTACTGAATAACAGAAAGAAATCAAATTATTCCCTTCCCTCTTTCCAAAGAGTGAGTGAGTGAGTTTAGTTTTACACCGCACTCAGCAATATTCCAGCTATATGGCGGCGGTCTGTACATAATCGAGTCTGGATCAGCCATTCCAGTGATCAACAGCATGAGCATCGATCTACGCAAGTGGGATGCGGTGACATGTGTCAGCCAAATTAGAATTGAAGAATAAGGAACTGAGCAATTCATGACAATTTGACAATGTTCATGTTAGATGTGAGCACGTAAACAAAGCCACATAAACCACTTTACAATTGATACTTCACAATAACGAAAACGTTGGAAGAGGTGAAGACTTGAACAACATGTCAGGAGAGGTCGAGAACAAGGAGAAAATGTCTGTAAAGTCAACATTGGGGATGTCCGCTCCCACATTTCTTGGACAAACAGTTGGATTTGAAGTTGAGAAAGTTCTCGTCCATATGATTCATTAGTTATATAACGCCGCAGTCCACAATATTCAACTATACTACAGTAGGCTGGGCCAGACAAGGTAAGGTGAGGTGAAATTGGGTTTAACGTCGTGCTTGAGAATATTACGCTCATATGATGACGTGCATGCGTGTGTATGTTTGTGCAGCTGCTTGTTCTAGCCCAGACTTAAGCTGGTTTTATAGTGCTAGCCCACTGAGATACCATGCCGCAGTGAAGCATGAATACCCCACTCAGACACACTATACTGACTCCGAGCCGACCAGTCCTTGTTGTACCCATTAATTCCGAGCGCCAGGCAGGGACCAACAAGTACCATATTTTAACGTCTCTTGGTATGACGCGGTCGGGGATCGAACCCGCGACCTTCCGCTCTCCGCGCGGACGCTCTAACCACTACACCACGGAGGCGGTCCTGGGCCAGACAAACCAGTGATGGACATTATGCGTCACAAGCTGCACCACCTGGGTGCAATGACTCGTTATCAACCATGTGACCGAGTCTGACTGCCAGAACCAATTGGTCGTCTCTTACAACCAGCACAGTTCACAGGGACGTATTCTAACGCAGAATTCCTACAGGATCTTCTATGGAAAGTCTTACATCTCTCTTACATCCCGTGAATCTTTTTCATCACGCTAACCTCTCTTGTCAGTATGAGCGAGTGAGTGAGTTGAGTTTTACGCCGCACTCAGCAATATCCCCGCTATATGGCGGCGGTCTGTAATATATTGAGTCTGGACCAGACAATCCAGTAATCAATAGAATGAACATCGATCTACACAATTCTAACGCGGATCTTCACGGGTATTTATAAGGATGAAGCTCTATCAACATACAAGCGACAACTGGTGTATGTGGAGCTGTATCAACACACAGGATACATATCGTCCAGAGAAGGATATGGTATCCACAAAATGTCTCGATATCAGCTTCTCCTTCCCACCAGGTCTCTCGTCCTTATGGTTCCACAGGATCTCCCTCATTTAAACAAAGCTTTATTGTCACAAAAGATTTTCTTAGTGTGAATGAAGATTTATCTTTCCACAAGATCACCTGTGTCTAAATGAAGGCCGCCCATAGGGTCGTCTGGTCTAAACTTCGTCTCCAGGTCTGTTTCGGACGTCCTCTTTCGCTCTAGCCTTGTGGGTTCCAGTCAAGAGTTTGTCTGGTGATATTTGGTTTGTGATTTCTTAGCGGATGTCCAATCCAACGTCACTTCTGTCGCTTGATCTTAGCAGAGACTGGGTCTTGGTTTGCTGTTTCCCACAAGTCAAGGTTGGAGACTTCACCACTTGATGCGGAGGATCTGTCGGAGACACTTGTTGAGGAGTCTGTATATTGATGGAGCTGATCTTGGTTACTCTCCACGTTTCCGATCCATAAAGCAGGGAAGAATTAACATTAGAGCTAAAGATCCGGAGCCTGGTTTTCAAGGATAGGACAGTACTTTTCCAGATCGGTCTTAATGTGATAAAAGCATATTGGGCTTTTCTGACTCTGGCCTTGACGTTCTCGTCTGTACCACCAGTTGCGCTGATTCTGCTCCCAGCTACTAGGTAGGTGACGTCTTCAATCACTTGTCCGTTGATCTGTGATGGATCTTGCTGTTTGTTATGGGTCCTCCGAACCTTCCTCTTATACAGGATGTACATCATCTAAATGAAGTCACACCATAAGAGGGGCGGTGGGGTAGCCTAATGGTTAAAGCGTTGGCTCGTCACGCCGAAGACCCGGGTTCGAATCCCCACATGGGCACAATGTGTGAAGCCCATTTCTGGTGTCCCCCGCCGTGATGTTGCTGGAATATTGCTAAAAGCGCCGTAAATCCAAACTCAGTCAGTCAGTCACACCATAAGATCTTAGTCCTATAAATGTATACCGCAGGTACAAGTAAATTAGATTTGATATTTAATTGAAAATGTATGGCGATGCTTGCTCATAAACCCACGCTGCGTGGTGGCATACCCTAGTGCTTTAAGCATTCATTCATGTTGTAGGCACTGGTTCGATTCCCTATACTGGTACGATGGGTGAACGCCGTTTCTGCTTATGTTGCTAGAATATTCCTACAAGCAGTGTGGAACCAATGCCACTCACTCAAGGCTACATATGTGATTGATTGAGTTGAGATGATTTATGTCCTGTGTCAAGAATCTTTGATTTAGCCAGGGAGACTATGTTGTAGAGTATCCCTGATTTAGCTTACTGGGCTAAACTGTTCATATTTTATCATTGTCTCACTCGAGTTTCATACAAAAAGATTTGCCCATGTAACAAGATGAAGTATCCCTATTTCATGGGAATAAGACACCATTGGACAAACAGTTTCATCTAATGATGACATGATGATAACCCACACAAATGATGCTGATATTTTTCAGTTGACGTTTAACTGCACCACAAAGAAACAGGGAAAGTATAACGGTTGCATACTTTATTATAAAAACGTGTTGACATTAAGAAATGAATCTGTGGATTACACATAACAAAGGAAAATATTACAACCGTCAAGCTGAAAACACAACGATTTTAAGTTCTAGAACAACACGACCCTGACACATCAAAAGCTGCATGCCTGAAGATGGTTTCATCATAAACATTTACTATAACTTTTTGTAAGGCCAGACCAATTTTATTTCTTGTTTTACGGATCCGCCGCTCGGATTTTTTCAAGAATATGAAAAAAATATAAATTAATTTTCCCTGCTCAAAAATATTTTTAGATTGCTTTTTGCCCCACATATACTTCATAAATTGCCAAAAGTAAAATACTTATAGCATTTAGAAGGAATATTACTTTTAGGTTTTCTGAGGGAAAAAATCCAAAAAGCAAGAAAAAAAATTGGTCTGGTCTAACCAGGGAATCTACAGTATCATATACTTCTCCAAATAATATAAGGACCACTCAGTTCTTTCATATTACTATAATTAATATGTGTTTGTCATGGCAGATTAGCCATATAGCTGGAATATTGGAAAAGTGGTCAAAGTGTCGTGGTGACCTTGAAGATAAGGTCAAGGTCACCCAAATCAACTGGTGTCTGCATAATCCCCCAATGTAGGCTGTCACCAAATTTGAAGACATTGGGTACAACAGTCCATGAGATGTCGCGTTAACAAGAATCGGGACGTCCGTAGGGATGCCGCTGAATACATAGTTCCACGTTCTGCGTTGCAGCAGGGGACAATAAGCTCACTAAAGAACTGCCAGAAAAGTATATTTGAGAGCACATTGGATTACATTGTTTTCCCTGAACAACACCCAAAACAACATGATAATCAAAACAGAGAACAGTTATCACGGATTTCAGTATTGTTTCAATATATTCATTATGATGCATAAAAAATATATACATGTCCTCTGGCACGTTTCTCAAAATGGAGGTGGGCAATAAGACATAACTTATCATTTATCATCAAACTGGACACAACTTTACACCTTAATGTAATGGCAGTTTCCAGCATTATATTTGTTAGACAACATAGTAGGTTTAAGCAGACATCAGAATTTTTTAAAATAGGTTTTTTTTTGTTATTGGCAATAATAATTATAAAAGCCAGGATATAAAGTGATGGTCCAATCGCCAAGAAAGATCATATTTTGTGGCCAAATTTAATATTTCATAGTTCTTCGCAAAAAGTGAAACTAAAATATGGTCATTTGGCAAAACACCTGGTGAACAGGATGAGGTAATATCTCCAGCCAGTATATGTCAGACATGACAACTTGTATATAACCTGCTAAAGATAACTATGGGCAGGTGAAAACTGCTGGACATTTTTACTGAAAAGCAGAGCAAACTGAAACAGATTAGTTTATGTTGCCTTGCTGTCAGTCATCTGTGTATTAGTGCAAAAGGAGGACGGACTCACTCTTCTGGGTCCAAGAGTTTATATTCTCTGTGTTCGACATGTACAACAACTAATACTTGTTACATGTGTGCATGAAGTGAATTGAGCAATTATTAGTTCCAATACATTAACAATATCTTAGTTCTGAAAGTATCAGTTATACATTATAAGCAGTGTATGAAATAAGGCCCGTCCGCCCAAGAAAGGCTAGATTTCTGACGGACGGTTTAAATTTACAGCTAGCCAGCGCGATGGTCTGGTACAAATTTTAGATGTTCCATACAACTGAGTAAATTCACCATATTTGGTCTGGTTAAATCCATTTTGGGCTGGTAACATTTTGAAGTTACCAGTCCTGAGGTCTGGCTGGATTTTTGGCTTATTTATTTCATACACTGACATTAGATAAAGGTAAGATGTATTACATTGTGAATAACAAGATCACAACATTAACTGAGAATGTGAATTTATACCACAAAATCTTACAGGCAGAAGACATCATATCCTTACAAGATTTACATATAATACTCACGATACTAGTCATGCACACATGTAACAAGTATAATTTGTTGTGCAGGTTTTCAAGGTTTCTACCTGTCGAACTACAGAGAATAAAAACTCTTGGACCCTGAAGAACGAGTCGGTCCTCCTTTTAGATGGTATCAGAAGTAGGATCAGCCTCGACAGATCACCTGACAGGACACAGGACTGCAGGATATAGCCGCTTCCGTCCAACGGGCATCAGCAGTAGAAGATTAAGCTTAAGATTTAGACAATGCTTTAATTTTGTTAAATGTTGTTTATGTATGTTCCTGTTTTTTTCCTTTAAAGATTCCTTCTGGTTAGGTCTTAGGGTCTTGAGTTAAGGAAGCCTGTAAGAGACCACAAGGGGAAGGAACAGGAGTTTAATGAGGGAATTAACAAGGTGGAGGACAGGCTCCAAACGAGAATTAAGGAGCAGAAGGACTGGATCAAGAACCAGCAAGAGGAGTATGAAAAGCCCATCATGATGGTCACAGGGAGAAAGCTGGACCACTTCAGGGGAAGACCGGAGAGGGCAGGTGACCTCACTCTGACAAAGTGGATTTCGGACCTCAGGAGCAATGCTGACTCCAGGCACCTGAATCCTTTAGAGACCGCGGCTGTCACCATAGACAACCTGGCAAAGGGCCTGGCAAGAAATTCACGGCTGTGGAGACCTTCTGAGAGACCAGCCAGAAGAGATCTTCAAGGTCCTGACAAGGGTCTTTGGGGATGGACACCAGCTACCCCTCTTCCAGATAGATGCTACTCCTTGAGACGAGGACAAGAGCATCTTGTTACCTGAACCCTCAACATGGTGGAACTTTTCACCAGATTTCCTAACTTGATCCCTCCGTGAAAAAGAACAAAGATCAGACACTCAAGGGGAGACTTGCCAAGGTCATAATAGACAAAGGGTCGAAGAGAGAGCAGTGGCCTGGCTTGAACTACAAGAAGCCCAAATCAGTTCAAGTCCAGGAAACTGACGCTGTCAAGTCAGAGGAGTCCATTGTCAAGTGGCATCAGTCGCTCATCGACCAACAACATGAGCAGATCGCTGCTGAAAGCTCTGAGCCAGGGGAATGCCATCAGACCCAGTGGTGACATCAAGGAAGACAGGAAGACCTTTAGATGTTGGATCTGCAGCTCTCCAGATCACTTGAAGAGGGACAGTCCCCAGAGAAAAACCAACGAGAAGGGAAACTGTTAGAACAAGTAGTGGAGAGCCACACTATAGGGAAGCTGGATATAGGCTCAGTATTACATAGAGCGGTGGGAACCTGCCCGGAGACAGCTGTCGTCTTTAACGGTACAACAGTTGGACGCCTCATTGACACAAGGGCCCAAGTGTCAACCATAAGGGAGTCCTTCTTGAATCAGAACTTCCAGGGAAGAGAGGGGTTGGACATATCTAACTACATCAAGGTCAAGGCGGCAAATGGAGGGGAGATTCCCATCCTGGGCTATATCGAGCTCTCGGTAAATATTTTCAGCTATGAATTTTAATTTTTAGGATTTTTAATTGCAAAGGATACACAAGATGAGGCTACTAGAGCAAGGAAGGAAAGAGTAGCCGGAGTGTTAGGCTCGAACATCTTTAGGGACATCCACAAACACGCTTAGACAAGACCTATCCCTGAAGATTGGAGACAGATACTAGCCCTGTACGAGGAACATTGTGACGTCCATCAAAGAGAAGATATGGGATGAGTCAGAGTTGCAGGACCTGCTCCAGCACTGATACCAGCAAGGACCATCAGAGAATAAAAACTCTTGGACCCAGAAAAGCGAGTCTGTCCTCCTTTCACGTTAGGATACCTGATCTCAGGTAACAAAACACTGCACATTCGTTAACAGATAGAGTAAGCATTTTGAATATATGGCATTACAATGTTTCAATTTTTCCAAACCTTTGACAACACGTTTCCCTACTTCGCAAGTACAAAGACACAATACACAAGCCCTTCATGTACACCATTTTCATATTGGGTCATTTTGATAAGCCACAGTCCATTTCTTCTGTTTTTGTTTGTTTGTTGTTTAATGCCACACTTAGCAATATTCCAGCTATATGGCGGCACTCTGTAAATAATCAAATCTGGACCAGACAATCAAGTGATCAACAGCATAGGGATTATTTTTCGCAATTGGGATACGATGACATGTGTCAGACAAGTCAGCGAGTCTGACCACCGAATCCCATTAGTCGTCTCTTACGACAAACATGGGTTGCTGAAAATTAATTCTAACCCAGATCTTAACGGGTTCAATTTCTTTAATTCATATTGTAGTTTTATCATCACAAAGCACAAAGAAATTAGAAAATTTTCGTGTGAACTTCCCCATCATATTTGATTAGTGTGAACATGAATGAGCCCAAGTGAAGGAAAAATTACATGCTAGAAATCAACTACTGATTCACACAACTGAAAGTCCTCTGTTTTGACATCCATGCAACGATTGTGTAGTGTACCTGTTACTAATAATAATAATGTAAAAGCAGTCATTCTGTATGTCGCTCTTGCATAAACCAAGAAGAAGAATGGTGCACCCTCCACCACTTGACACATCAACTGATGTTTAGTTTCTCTCTGTACCATTCACAGGTGGGATCTGGGTTAAGATGAATCTGAGAGCAATCAAACAAAGCTGTGCTATTTGAAGATGATACTGTCAGTTGTAGACAATGATTTGGTCCAGTGTGTGAAATAGTCACTGGCCCGCTAGCCCATGGCTAGTAAAAATCCAGTCGGGCCAGTAAATCTCCATAGACACTGGCCCGACTGGTAAGTGAATTTTCATGTGGTCATTTTGTAAACATATCACTCTCTGCAACTTGTTAAGTTATAATACACTTTAAATAATGCAAGATTATGGACTGATAAACAATGGTATTTTACCTTTTTTGTAATCTTTTGCTCAGTTTCTACATTCAAATTTCAGGCTTGTGAATAATTTTGTGGGCTAGTTACTTTCAGGTATAGCTTGTCTGACTGGCCAGCACAATTTGTAAACTAATTATAACGTAAACATTCCCTCTGGATTATGGTAGCCTTATTCCTGTGGATACACTGAATACATACAGAAAATCCAAACACATTTGAACAATACAGTGACGTCAGGACCAAGGGAGATAACTCAGGGGTAGACTAGGTATACCACTAGGAATAGCTATGACTTAGTGTTAAAATTTCTTTTGATTTTCTGTATGTATTCTGTGTATCCACAGGAATAAGGCTACCATAATCCAGAGGTAAGTTTACTAACAATTACTAACAATACATGTAATTGTTCCTATTTCGTACACTGATTTGGTCACAGGAAATGTGGAATGCAATATGAATTACATGTAGTGATACCTGGGTCCACTTGTACAAAGGAAGCTCAGCACTAAGATCATTGTAACTCCCATACTTTAACAGATTTAGAACAGTCTTGGTGCTAAGATTGCTTGTACAAGTGGGACGAGTTGACTAGAGTGCAACACTTGATTAAACTATTCATACTTGTTCTTGTCTGTGTCTAGTGGTGATAATCACAAGATAAATATCATTAAATGACATTGTTCCAGCACTAGAATATTGACTGTTACTGTTAACCGGATACAAAAAAATTCTGAATCATTAACATCTCAGTGTTTCTAGCTATTGCAACATAATACCACAAGATGTTGATAATAGTTGTTGTCTGTGCAAACTGGCCTTAACTCATCTTAAAGCAACATTATTAATGAATATCTTTTGATGTTATATAATGGCTATATTAAACTGAGCTTACTTTTAATATTGACTGTCTATGTACATTTTTTAAAAATATTTTAAACATAATTAAAAACATAAATTTCGTGATAGTGTTGTTAACTTTCGTAACATAATACCACTAATGGCAAAACATTGTAAAATCTCTAACTCAGTGTACTTACTATAACATTCGGTGGTTTTGTCTACTGGCCTGTACCATATTTTGGTAACATTTAGAGACATCATTAGAATGCAATCACTTAATTAGATATACATGTCATTAGACTAGGGACTACTACCCAAAGATTCATTGGCATCAATGCTGAAATGCACTGCTTATTATTACACGTATTATAAGATACTGACAAATCCACATGCCATAATAAATTAAACATAACTTAAACATATGTTCATATCCAAGGTGTACTTAGGTTCATGAACCAATCATTATAATATTTGTTCAATTGTGCATAAAAATGCATAAAAACTCAAATACATGACTAAAAAATATTTCCAGATCTAATTTGAATTGTATGAAACCAAATGAATCAGTGTTTTGACCAATCATATCCCTGGATTATATTTCTGGCCAATCAGAGTGTGGATTTGCTTTGTCTCTGTGGCCCTGTCTGGGGCTTATCTCTCTCCTCCCAGATTGTGACTCCATCACATGCACAGATCTTCTTCGAGTTCTCGAACAGACCAGCGGATCTGGCGATGATGCCACACACCATCCTGAAACAAAGTTCATTCCCATGGCAACAATTCTCAATCATTTTTCAAACTTGTTCTTATTTTTCAAACAGAGGTTATACAGGAGATTCTGAGAATCAGAATTTCAAAAAGAGCATGAAATTGTATTACCTACAAACATAGTTTTATAACAGTTTTCTGCCATCAGGGTATCTGATTGGAACTGACATTTACAGTAGAATTTACTGTTAAACATAGGTGCTATTATCATTACTCATAAAACCAGACTATCTGATCATGGTTTGTGTAAAAACGCAGACCAACATCTGTACTGACATTTCCAAAGCATGATGTTATATACGTCACTTCCACCAAACCAAGTTGCACTAGCCAAATTCTAGTTGGACTGCTTTTATTGCAATGCAATGAAAGAAATATGCTGTTGAATTATTTAGTTGTTTCATTCAGAAGTTCACCCGATCAAAAATTGACTTGCACATGGTGCAAGTTAGACTAATAACTAAAGTACTGTCGAAAATAGAAAAAAACTGTATTTTCTCATTTATCTCTACAATTTATGTAGTTGATATGTGCAAGTAGGGGTGGGTATTGCAGAGAATTTTCATATTGCAATATATTGCGATGCGAAAGCATGTATTGTGATATGTATTGCAATATATTGCATGAAGTATTTTTACACAAAAAACTACTTATAATCGAGGTAATGCTTGATTTATAGAGCAAATACACAGCAAAATCACTATGCTTGATTAAGCTTAAATAACAACTTTTATTCATGATTAAAAATAAAAATGTGAATAATATTTGGCACAAATGAAAAAAGGAAACATCCGAAGATTTCCATTGTTATGAAGTTTTCCAAATGCAAGTAAAAAAAACCGGTTTTCGATCAACGTATCGCAATATGTATCGTTTTCATGTCTGAACCGGTAAATACCGGTAAACCAGTTATATTGCGCAGCCCTATGTGCAAGTGTGAAATATCTGTTAAACTAAGTTCAGCCTAACTACAGTCTCAGTGGTAGGAACATAGGAAATGTAGAAAAAGGACTTTACTGAGGAGAGATTAGTGCAGAAATGAGCAATGCAAAACGATTTATTTGGAAGAGACTTGATGCAAATTAGCGTGTGACGATATTGTATTACAAAGGACACTTTTTAAATGCCCAATTTGAAATTAGACATAGCTTCATTATAAACGATAGCTGGCATAAAAAATAATAACTTTCATGCTGAAACTATTAAGGATGTAGCTACCATGGAGTCTCACTGTCACTATAAAAAGAAACAGATAGGAGTGTTCGTCTCAAAAGCAAAACCTGGACGGGTGTCGCAGACGATTCGTTGGGGTCGGGTTGGGGGATAGAGATATCAGCTAAGATGAGATAATCCTTTACAGCAATTATACTGGGGAAGTACACGGCACCTCATAGCAATTTACAAATAATATCCAGTCCTGTCAATCTTCGCGATCGGGTGGTCATGCCACCTATATATTGAGACATTTATTGAGACATTTAATACAATGCGTTTCCATGGTTATCAGGTATCATACTCTTTTACATATCTCAACATAAACTTCATGAAAGAAAACACGTAAGATGTCAATCAATAGATGAGGCATAGTCAACACACATGAAAAAGCACAAAATATCTTTCAGATGACCCCTTGTGCCTGTAGGCAGCACATGCATTTCATGCCAGGTGAGTGTCGACGGTCCGTCGTCATTCCTGGCTGAGCGACCTACCGGTAATTGCCATCTATAGTCTGATCTATTGTGTTCAGCAGCTATTCGTATTCGTAAGTTTTGCCCTGATTTTACGAGTAAACATGCTTTTCTGGATATCCTATTACGCATCCCACTGAATGCCAAGTTAGGCCGAAGTGAGTTATTTCGACATATGCTATTTGTACTTGTGTAAATTTTAGGGATACAGAGTAACGGCCTAAAAACAGTTTTTTTTCTATTTCCGACAGTACTTTAGGCTGCACTTTGTAATATTGGGTTGCACCAGTGCAACTAACAAAGCACTAAATTGAGCCCTGAACAAGCATATGGATATTGTGCTGACAGACCAAGCATTAACAATCAAAGCAAATGTCGACTCCATGAAAGTATATTCGTTTTGTATGGCCAAGTGACACAACTCTGGCACCCTAGACAACTGGTAAATCCATGCCCTGCTAATTGTACAGCCTTTGAACAGGTACAATGAATCTGCATATGATCTAACTACAGATTTAAAAAAAAAATTCAGAAGTGTTTAGATTCACCTGTTAGAATTTCCTGCCTTGATTATTTCCTCTTTTGGGCCTTGATGTACAATCATAGATCGCCCAATTACATCCCATACTTTCAAATCAGGGTTCTCACAACGGAATATTCCTCGGCCATCTTCCCCAACTTGTAGTTCTGAGATAATGCCTTTCACCTGTGTAAACAAAACACATCAAGGAGTGAATGAGTATGGTTTTCTGCCACTTTGGCAATATTCCAGCAATATCACGGCATAGGGACACCAGAAATGGGGAATAGAACCCCGGTCTTCGCCGTGACTAGCAAATGCTTTAACCAGTAGGCTACCACACCGCCCCAGGTGAATGAGTTGACTGATTATAATTCAAACTATAAGAAAGCACCCACCCACCATAAACTGTTTCTTGAGTTGTTTCTACTATGCTGCTTGATAAACCAGAGTGAGTTGGGTTCTATGCTGTTTTTAGCAATATTATGGTGGGTGATGCCAGAAATGGGCTTCACATATTGTACGCATGTGGGGAATCAAAACCATGCCTTGACATAACGGGTGAACGACTTAACCACTAGGCTACCCCACTGATGGTTAAGAAATGGAGTTATTAATGTAACTCTGTGAGAGCAAAACAACTTATACATATACATATAAATATTGAACATTCCAGGACAAATGCAATGTTTTCATACTTACCAACTTACCATTTGGCACTGTCTAGTGTCAGGTAAGGTAAATAAAGAATACTACACTCGGTCTCATTACATAGGAATTATATGAAACGAGTGTCCTTCCTATGGTATTTGACCGAGCGAAAGCGAGGTCAGAAACCATAAGGAGGTCACATGTTTCGTATAATTCGTATGTAATGAGACTGAGTGTGGTATTTTATTTATTACCCACGTCTTACATGCTTTAAATTGACAAAACAGCGTATTATTGTTATTGTAAGAGTTTCAAACCGAAACTGGTTTCATAAAGAGGTTGCGCCTGAATTTTGTTCTGTAGTTCACTTTGGCATGACGTCACACTGTATTGACAAGACCACGCCATTCACGTCTGCTCCCTTGGTAACCGACGTCACGATGCATGTCAGTGGTCATCGCCTCGTACAGCCTCCTACAGTAAACTACTCCGTAGCACCCGTTTTCTTGGTTTGCAGTCGCTTCACTCAGCTAACATCACTGGTGGAAACATTGCGTTTATGTTTTTCGACGGATATAATGTCTCAGTTCGATTCACATTTAAACAGCGATACGACAACGTTCACAATGTTTACATTCCCACAATGCATATAAGTTGTAGAATTAATGACTTCACGTGGTTGTTATGAATGAACAAGTAGTTCCGTCACAAGTTGACCTAATTGAGAGGTCATTGGTTATCCAAACAAATCATTAGAATCTCAGGTCAAGTCGTTATGACACAGGTCAACGTGACACGACACTCGTGTGACATACAAGATTAGTATGCAACTACCCATACGTTGACCACGTGGGTAATAAAGCATAAAGAATTATACTATTCACTTATCCTTACATATTTTCAAAACCATGGTGACCAGATAACCAGTTTCAACAGTATGTTAGCACCCACCTTGTCTGTTAATCCAAAGATGTCTCCACAGCTGAAGAAACAAATACACAGATGACTTTAAAAAACCACAAACAGCATTATTTATAAATATCATATCATGTTATAGTGAGTGAGTGAGTATGGTTTAACAAGGCTTTTAGCAATATTCCAGCAATATCGCAGCAGGGGACACCAGAAATGGGCTTCACACACTGTACCCATGTGGGGAATCGAACCCGGATCTTCGGCGTGACAAGCCAACACTTTAACCACTAGGCTACCCCACCGCCCTAGTGAGTGAGTGAGTGAGTGAGTGAGCGAGATAGCTTATGGCTTTGCTGCAGCTCTTTTGGGCAATATTCCAGTAACATCACTGTTAGGAACACCAAAACTGGGTTTCACACATTGGACCTATGGGGGAAATTAAACCATCCCTCATGATAGAGGAGATTCATATTTGCATAGCAGAAGTACCTGTTGCACCCCTTGGAGATATCCCCCAGCTCATGCACGCACACAGTGTGTGTCCCTTTGGGCAGTCCGTCCACTGTCCCTTCCACAACGCAGGTTGTCTCATCATTCTGGACAAGTCGCACTACACCCTTTACCAAACTGTTTCCAGTCTCCATGACAGAAACAGCTGCCCCTAGATGATGGGTGCCTGATTGAAAACAAGAACTGAGTTGCTAGAATCAGAACTGAAAAGGATTCCTTTGATGATGGAAAATGTGAGGTGAAATGGGCTAAATGTTGTGTTGAAGATTATTGTACTTAAATCACAACAAATATGAATGTGTATGGCAGAAATTACTTGGTGAATTAATACAGTTTAATAATACGAACTCATATGCCACAGTTGGACATCCCAGTCAAACACATCAGCTGTGACAGTGAGTTACATCCGATCACTCAGCAAAGACACAGATTTTAATACTTAATAGACATGGGTGTGCAAGACTTTGTGAAACATACCACCAGGTTTGAAATTCAGCATTTTCGCTTTTGATGCGGGAAGCCTGCACTACTGAGGGTTGTTCATCAAGGATTATAGGATATATAATATTATATTGTATATATTATATATAATATTGTATGTGCATAAGCTGTGACGGCTAATAAACATAACAATGCTTCAAGGTTTTACACAATGACGAAATATGAGAAGTATGCACAAATTCATAGAAGTGATGAAAGTATATGGCATCCCGAGAGATGCACAACATTCATTGTACCAAATTCTTGACAAGAAACAACTATGTCCGACAATACAGTAAGGCCAAATAAAAAAAATGTTGTGGTTCCGATAACACCTCTTTAAAATTTAGGGTAGGTAGGTAGGAATTTTCATTTTTTTACAAATTATTTTTAGAAGTAAAGTACAAACTAATAACACATTTATCAATGTGTTATTGTTTATTTAATCAAGCTTGCGGTCATCATGTCGACTTTCTCTATCAGAATGACCGATGTCTGTCGATGCCGGGAAAAAACAATGGTATCTGAAAGCTTATTTTATTCATACCGCTTTAAAAAAATAGGGTCTGCACCAGAATTCAAGGGTCGGTCGAGTAATTGGAACCACGACATTTTTTTTTAAGGCCTAATGTACTTCACAGAATCCTCATATTTCATGAAGGGCCCTGGAAAATAATTACCAGGGTCTCATGGAGTCCCAGTGTTGGAATTCAAGGTAAAACACTGATGCTATTTTCAAAGGAGTAATGAAAATGATAAGTCATGATTTATTCATTCTCAATGCGGTGACATTTCTTGTCAGGGGTTAGCGTACCAAGTCCTTGTAATGTAAAGGCCATAGGAGTACTGAAATAGATAAGTCATGATTTATTCATTCGACATAACCTGTCGGGTATTAGTGTACTAAGTCCTTGGAGTGTAAGGTCAACATACCCTTACTTGATCCGTACCCATGGAGGACTGCTCTCTTGCCTGTTGTCTCTATGAGGTCTTTAACTTGGGATGAAGGGAGAGAACTCTCAACAATCACTTGTTCTGTGTCCAGGTGAACATTAACTGAAATTATCCCTGCAAAAAAATAAAAGCACACTTGTTAAAAGCAAAGTCTTTAATGTTTTGGTTGAAGCATTCGGTATTACGCAAAGGTATTCATTAGGGCTGCGGAATATAACCGGTTTACCGGTATTAACCGGTTCAGACATGAAAACGATACGTATTGCGATACGCTGATTGAAAACCCGTATTTTGACTTGCATTTGGAAAACTTTGTAACACTCGGAAATCTTCGGATATGTCCTTGTTTCATTTGTGCCAAATATTATTCACATTTTTATTTTATCATGATTAAAAGTTGTAATTAAAGCTTAATCAAGCCTAGTGATTTTGTTGTGTTTTTGCTCTATAAATCAAGAATTAACTCGATTATAAGTAGTTTTTTGTTTAAAAATACTTCATGCAATATATTGCAATACATATCGCAATACATGCTTTCGCATCGCAATATATCGCAATATGAAGATTCTCTGCAATACCCACCCCTAGTATTCATTGGCATGCTGCATGTTTTAAGCATTTGACTGTCCTATACATCTTCATGAAGATTCTGCTGACTCTGCTTTGTGTTCTCTGAAAGTGTTCTGAGTTTAAAACAAGTGTTTCTTATTTCTTGAAAACATCTGAATCCCAGTGTGTCCCTCTACATTATTTCAGAATCTAGATGTGGAGGTGTCTTAGAAAAAGACCTTCAACTGTTCAAGATTTTCCTTTCTTCCACATAATGCAATGAGAAATTACATGAGTCTCATCCCTCAAGCTATTTCTTCAACGATAAATAACTCACTTGGAACCTCTGTTCAAACAGTCTCAAGCATACCATGGACCGAATTGCCTAGTGGTTACTTGACTCATTACTTTACATGCCTGTGCAACATTTTCCAATTTTCGAACCTGGTACACCATTCAGCACCTTTCTGACAGAATTGACACATCCCTGGCATGTCATCTGGACAGCAAACTCCATCTGAAATACAACAGATCGTATGTGCTATGAATGGACTAGCAATGAGGAATCAGCAAATATTTACTGTGGCTTCAGTGTAGAGCTAGGCTACTGTTGTACTGCCAGCGGGAACAGGTCAAAAGAGCCAAAGGACAAAAGGGACAAAACTGAAAAAGTCAAAAGGTCCACAGAAAAGTCAAAAGGGTCATAAATTAAAGTCAAAAGGGCCATAGGTAAAATTCAAATAAGAGCATACAAACTAATATACATTTTATATGTTTTCTTTTATGTGGAATATGTGGATATGTGTTTTGGCCCATTTGTCCTCTGGCCCTCTTGACTACAACCCCTGCCAGCATAACTTTGTAATTTTAGCCATTACTGTCAACACTAAACCACACATTTAAGAAACAACAGGAACATACGTGTGTCTCTGTGCATTTATTTCCCTGAATAACAATCGATACAAGCACCACGGTAGTCCAGCATATAACTACACGACTTTGCACTATACCAAAGTAGGCCTTGGCTGGAATACGAGTTCATTTATATGATATATGAATTAGCACCACACATGGGATACGGTGATTTCGTAGACTGAACGCGGTGGATTCGTAAACCAGACTGGTTCGTAGACGGTGATTTCGTAGATGTGTACTAATAATTGAATAATAGTATATATTAAGTTTGATTTTTACTTAGAATGTGTATAACGAAGTTGTTATGCTTTGTTTTCAGTGATACGAAACTAAGGGCAGCTAAGGACAAGAAAGTGTGATTGAAGAATGATTTCTTCTTACCTTCTTGAGGTTTATATACCATAAGTATTCACCTACAGCCCCACACATGATGCTTAATCATCATTACAAAATTACGAACGTTCATTGTCATAAAATACGACAGTTATCCATAGGATTTTACAGCACTTAATTGATTTGAAACCAAATGCGCATCGAGGAATTATTCATAACCTCAATTTGCTCAAAAAGCTGAATCATTATCCTCGTGTTTTCAGAAAGAACATCCGTTGTTCAAGTTCTTATAAACTTCTCCTTTTCTAGCAATAAACTATTATGCACGTGTTCTTATCAAATCAGTAATTGAATGCTGAATATGACTGCACGCGTCCAAATTTGGATTTTGAAGGGCCAATGACTTTGCATTTTTGCAAGCACTAGCCTTCAAACCGATGTGAACGAAAACAGGACCTTTATATTTGATTTCGCCATAAATCGGTTAAAGTCGAAGCAGAACAACTGACATTTCTCATAAACGAAACTAAGTATTTCCAACACAGATATTCATGGATAGTCATTCACCAAATTCATTGCAAAACAGGGACAAAACACTTTCACAGACAAAATACACAGCAAATAAAATATACACACTTTCGTGGGGGCCGCCATTTTTGTTTAGAACGTCACGTAAAGTGCTTCGGTGTATCACGTGACATCTTGGCGGTTTCAAATGTGGTTGATGCTGGCAAAATAATATTAGAAAAGGTATAGTATTTTCTCCTCTCATGTTATTAGCGAAAAAGACGATGATATGCTATCTTAGTATTCTTGTGTTATTGTTCCAGATGAAAGTGGACATTGTATTTTTGTTCTGTTCATGTCAGATGATGCTTCATACTGGACCGTGATTATGCATCATGAATATTTCACGCCATATAGACTAAATGTGAAATTATTTATCACATCAATCACCAGGCTATGTTTTAGTATTCATCCGATTTCAAGAGTATCGAATATATCTTTGTCTAATGTCCAATGACTTGGCCATGAGTGTAGACAATGGTCGAATGTTGTGACTTGAGCTCCAAAAGTGAGATTGTCAAACTGTCACCTACCAGTTTGGTCACAAAATTGAAACAAATCAGCTGCAAACACGAGTCAAACTTTCGATTTCGGTGTGCTGTGTGAGATTTGCATGTATGTTATGGCACATATTGCCCCCAAACAGAAAAAAGATATCCATATAATCTGAAACACACATGTACTGTAGTGTTACAATGGATCTAAGCAAGATCTAGGTGTCCCATCATTTATTTTACATTCTGTCATGTGATCAGAGGTGCTACCCATGTTTGATTGGGTAAATACTATGATCAAATTGTCCTGCGAGTCATCCCCACATTTATACTCACAGTGGATCTAAAAAATGGATCGAATGATCACATGACTTGGTTGATGCATTTCATCATATACCAGTTCATAGATAGATAATTATGATGTCTTCTTTGAGTGGCATTTTAGAAGTTGGGAAGTACAATATAGAACAAACTTTATGGATAACAACAACTTATGATGTCAATTACTGAATTGCCTCTTCCATTCCAAAGCCCATTTCTGGCGTCCCCTGCTGTGATGTTGCTGGAATATTGCTAAAAGCGACGTAAAACCAAAACTCAGTCAGTCAGTCAGTCTTCCATTCCAGACTCATTTATTTACCAACCGACATCATAAAGCATGAAAGAACTAACAAATTCCTGCAAGTGTATATTGCTGTTGCCCTAAGCGATTGTTGTCTGTCCGGCTATAGCTCAGTCTTCCATGTCACAATTGCAGTTTAACACAGTGTTTTTGACAATTTCCTCATTTGAAGGACTGCATACGTTACATATTATTATTTATTCTATTTCACATTAACTATAATGTCATTACAAAAACTGGTGTAAACAAAAATCAAGGTTAACTGTCTTTATGACTCACACATCAGAAAGCTGAAATTTTATGGTTACTCAGTAACAGAATGAATGCATAACCCTTTTAAACCATTGCGTTAAAGAATGGGCAATGGTTTCTGTGAAGTTTTATTTCTGTCAGAAATGATTGTAATAAACCCTCAATGCATTTATATGTCCTTTGATTATATTTATATCAATTTGACTTTTGTCATGATTATTTGGTAAAACCAAATCATATCATTAACAGAAAGTTAACTAATTGTAAGAACTGTTACATTCCTTAAATCAACTGCATGGCCAGTTTGTTCATGTTTAATTCAGAAAACATGTAATCATCTGATAAAACTCAGTTACAATAAATCTGTAATTAATAATAGGTCCACAGGAAATATCAAAAACAGAACAGAGATAAGCTCTGATTATCAAAGATGCAACTACACAGCTCCAATACTTCTTTTCTCGGAGGGTTTTCCTACACCAATACTTAAACTTGTCATAGATCAAGTGCTGAAACTTGAAACAACTGAAACTTCATCTCAGTTAAGAGGTTCACAGATTGAGTATTGGGGTCGCGTGCTAATCTGAAGTACGGTAATCCGATGTTTTCGTAGCAATTCGCTTTCGCTGCACTTCTAGCATAACTTTGGTTTTCGCTTTACCGGGAATAGGGAATATTGAAATTTCGCTTTCCCGGGCCGACACCCCCTATATAGCTATCATTCTCCCAGTTCATCTTTAACTATGACCTGTACTGATAAATGTTGTCAAGATGTTTGATTTCAGATTTGTGAAAATTAAACTTTGCTCTTTTGATTTCAGATGTCTCACTTAAACATGACATATCCCAAGAAGAAGAGAAAGAGATCTGTTCCTGGCAATCTTCCTGAGTGTGAGTCACTGTATTAAGAAATGTCGTCATTCGTGCTATTACTAATCATGCTAATTAAGCAGTACATTATAGTGTTTGTATGTGGTTGTAGAATATTCAAGATATAATAATTAAGCAAAGTTATGAGGGCTGATCTTTAATACCTCATGAAGAGAAAACCTCATTTATGATCAGTTTTTCAACGCTTCTGTTTCAGTGCCACAGAATACTTGTGTTTTTTGTCGATCAAGTGAGGACTGTGAAGAGGATTATGGGAAGGTCATTAAAAAATGTGGTTTCACAGTCCACTATTTCTGCATGGTAAGTTATTTGTCACCTAAAACTTGCAAGAGGTAATAGAGTGAGTGAATTTAGTAATACTCAGCAATATTCCAGCTATATGGTGACGGTCTGTAAATAATCGAGTCTGGTCTAGACAATCCAGTGATCAACAGCACGAGCATCGATCACCACATTTGGGATATGATGACATGTGTCAACCAAGTCAGTGGGCCTGACCACCCAGTCCCCTTAGTCACCTCTTACTGACAAGCATGGGTTACTGAAGATCAGTTCTAACCCGGATCTTCACTGGTCAGGTAATATAGTGAATATATTTACTACATTCAGGTATAAGTGTTACCAAGATAGTCACCTAGGTGTCAATGTTATTTTCATGGTAACCATCCAAGAAATTCGATTCGCAATATGAAATCAGTGTTAAGTTTTATATGTTAAGTTTATGGATGAAGTATTATTGGGATCTACTTTTTAAATAATTAAAGTCATTGAGAGTTTGGAAGGGTTTTGTACAGATGTATCTTCCTTGTTACTTTCTTCTTCGTGCTTTTGTTTGGTTGTTTTTGGTCATGGGTTTGTCACAATCCTGACCTTTAGCTTGTAAGTACAATACCCTTGCTTGAGAGTTTCACATAGACATTAAGATTTCCTGCTTCACTGATGTAAAGACTTTGTGACCTATCGGTAAACACTTTTGAGAGTGGTATTCCTGTACATTGCAGCTGTTTGCCAGTGGTCTCAGCCAGAGCGGCAAGACAGAAACACAAGGAATCTTTGGCTTCATGCCTGGAGACATCAGACGGGAGCTCAAGAGAGGCAATAGACTGGTAAGAGATCCCAGTAGTCACGTTCATGTAGGGGGGCTGAAGAAGATACTTCTTTCGCAAAGAAAGTATTAAACTTCAGGAATGAACATCTTTGTCCAGCATCAAACTTTGGAATTTGTCCTTTGTCAGTTGACTAATGATAGGTTGTATTTATTATGTTAGTTATGATGTTTTTTTTTTTTTTTCGGCATTATTCCAAATGAGAAATCTAAAAACAGTGTGATCAGCTAATCCTAACTGATACTGAAGTTCCTTCTTCACATAGCGCTGTACCTACTGCAAAGAGAGGGGGGCAACTATCGGCTGCGTGGTCACGTCATGTCGCAAGGCTTTCCACCTCACATGTGGCCGGAAGAAGGGATCACTGCATCAGTTCTATGACTCATTCAGGTAGGAACATGTCACCTTTGAAACCCTGGTAACTTCTACATGTTGTCCCTCAATTTTTCATTTACAGCGGGGCGGTGGGATAGCCTAGTGGTTAAAGCGTTGGCTCGTCACGCTGAAGACCCGAGTACAATGTGTGAAGCCCATTTTTGGTGTCCCCTGCCATGATATTGATGGAATATTACTAAAAGCTGCTGAAGCCCACCTACCCAGTCCTACCCAGAGTACAGATATGCCGTAAGTGATATTTATGTGAATAATCTCTATTCAATAAAAGCACATTTGAATTTTGGTAAATACTCAATAAATGTGATCTTACATGCATTAAAAATGTCAAATCTTACCTCACTCACTCACTCACTCACTCACTATTTAGGACATGAACTTGACACTTTCTTATGGTTTCTCTGCCAAATATAAATAACAAACACTAGCATTTCATCTTGCAAGATTTGAAGTAGACAATCTATTTCTCAGAGGAAAATTGAGATATCATAACTCAATGACCCAAAGCGTTATCTATCCCTACCTACCTACCCTACGCTTCACTCACTCACTCAGCACTCACTCGGCCATAAGTCAAGTTCATATAGATCTATTTCTGTTGGATATCCAGGCCTTATTATCCCCGCCAGCGTTTTAGCCAAGGCGGGGATATAGTATATTAGGGTCGATGCGATGCGAATGAATTGGAATATCTTAAGAACCGTTTTCATATTTGGTACCTAGGTTCATCACACTATTAGAAAGGTCCAAGTCAGGTTTGGTGACCTTGACCTTCATTTCAAGGTCACAAGGGGACTTTCACATTTTACCTGCATGTTAAGCTATCTCAAGAACTGTTCTCTGGATTGTCTTCATATTCAATACCAAGCTTTATCTAGGGAAGGCGCAGGGCCCAGTCGATTTTGGTGACCTTCACATAATTTTCAAGGTCATGGCAACACTTTGAAGATTTCAGCATGTTAACCTGCATGTTAAGCTATGTTAACCTGCATTTTAAGCTATCTCAAGAACCTTCACTTAATTTCAAGGTCTGGATTTTCTTCAACCTACATAATTTCTCAGAATACCCAAGAACCATAAGCATTTTGAAACCAAGCTTCATCCAGGAAGGCGCAGGGCTCAGTCGATTTTGGTGACCTTCACTTAATTTTCAAGGTCACAGAGACACTTTGAAGATTTCAGCATGTTAAATTGCTTGTTAAGATAGTCAGCAAGATATCGCAAAAAATATTCAGTGGATTTTCTTCATATTTGACACCAAGCTTCATCTAGGGAACATTTCTGGTGTCCCCATCCGTGATATTGCTGGAATATTGCTAAAAGTGGCGTAAAACTAAACTCAGTCAGTCAGTCATCTAGGGAAGGCCCAGGGCCCAGTAAATTTTGGTGAATTTCACATAATATTTAGGGTCACGAGGACACTATGAAGATTTTAGAATGTTAACCTGAATTGTCAGCAAGATATTTTAAGAACGGTTCACTGGATTTTCTTCATACACTTTCAAGACCTCCCTTGAATGTTTTTCAATAAGCAATTTCTTTAGTACTAGCTTTGCATATTTCATACACTATGACATTCATGTCAAGGTCAAAGTCAGTCTTGAAAATATTTGTGTGTTTGAACAACTAAAGAGCAAGCTAATGTTTTTGTTGACATTTAACTTCATCTTAAACTTTCATTACTTTATAAGTTTGATTTGATAATTTGCAGCGGGGGATTATGTTACCTTAGTGACAATGCTTGTTTCTAAGGGGTTTGACTTTAATTTGCTATTGTCATTTGCATCACTTCACTTTGGCAACAGATTGCCTTAGACTTTGCTGAGATTCCCAATACATGACAGTTTAAGTGACGCTTGAGAACACAGATGGCTATTGCAAAGAGAGAAAATCGCATTTCATTATGGGTGGGATAGCCTAATGGTTAAATGGTCATACCAGAGATCAGCGTTCAGTTCCTCTCAAGGTACAGTGTGTCCCCCATCGTGATATTTCTGGAATACTGCTATGAATGGCCCCAAAAAACACGTTCGTGCTCAGGAGGAACTTCTTGTAAATAAGTGGCTTGAAAACAGGTTAGCTGTTTCTTATTGTTTTGACGTAATTTATCAGTTCAGATGATGAAATTTGTTAACATCATAAAAACTGGATTAAGTTTTAAGAAACGGATTCTCACATATTAACCTGTTGATTGTATATGCTGTTCATGTGTGGTAATGTTTCTGTAGGTCCTACTGTCCTGATCACCGGCCACGTCAGACTGTACAGATCAGTGACCGCCTGGCGTTTGTAGGGACAGCTAACACTGTGTGCAGTATCTGTATGTATGCCGTGGTAGCCCGCTCCTCACACGAGACCATGAGGGCACCATGCTGCAAGAACTCCTGGTTCCATCGCTCATGCATACAGGTAAGGGGAATTCTCTGGATCTGAGTAGTCTCATGCAGAGGTAGTAATCATAATAACAGTTTAAATTGATGATTCAGTATTAGCATTGTCTGTGTGCATAGTATGTCATTTTCAATTTATGAAAACAGTCCATTTTAGTTAAGACTAAAAGTTAACTTACTATAATGTCATCAGTCATCGTATCCCATTTGCCTAGATCAATGCTCATGCTGTTGATTCAGAAACGGTGTTCTATTGGACTTAAATCCGGGCTGAGTGCAGGCCATTGTAGGGTTTGGATGCTATGTTGTCTTAGGAAGTCCAGTGTTGCTCTGGCAGTGTGGTCACGAGCGTTGTCTTGCTGCAAGATGTGATTTCTGTGATTTTATCCCATTTGCCTAGATCAGTGCTCATGCTGTTGATCACTGGTTTGTCTGGTCTAGACTTCATTATTTACAAACTGTTGCCATAAAGCTGGAATACTGCTGAGTGCAGCGTTAAACAACAAACAATTTAGCAGGAGAGGGGGAACTAAATTACTGTTGCCTGTACTGAGTCCAGACTTGTTACCCATCGAACATGTCTGGTGTATCCTTGTGTACATGTGTATCACCACCAACCCCCGATCACTCTCAACGATCTTGGTTCTACCCTGCAGGCATTCTCTTCCCACAGAGGTTACTCCTGTCATATCTTCCTACGTAACCTCTGTTCTAATACGGCCATATTTCCCGGTTCTCGTAAAATCCCCTAGCGGCAAAAGATCGCAACACAAATTATCTCCCTTCTTTCTATCCAATCAGAACACCTGTTACATCGACTTAGATTCAACTTGACTAACACAAGCAAATGTGGGGCCACAAATATCCCCCATCTGCCGGGGACTTGTGTTGATGTTACACACAAGACGTTTAATGGCTAGCTTGTCCGTTGTCAACGAGGGCGATGGAGACGCCACTGATACGCCATAACATAACTGAGTTCTGTCTAGAAGAAACGTTTGCGCATCGCGCAGGGGAAGAAGTTTAGTTTTCTCGAAGCATACGGAAATTACCGAGGCCTTGCGAATGATCACTTTTGAAACAACATTGCTGATTGCACAACTAAATCTGATTGTCTCCAATCACGGTCTTGAACACTCACACCATGAAAGGGCCGTATTAGAACAGAGGTTACGTAGGAAGATATGACAGGAGTAACCTCTGTGGGAAGAGAATGCCCTGCAGGAAGAATGGGATGGAATAAATCCAATAGACACTGGACATTTGATAAGGAGTATTAGCCTCATGAAATCAATGATTGTCTTAAGAATAGAGGCGTTTTCATGAAATATTTATAAGTTTGACTTTTCATGGTAAATGACATGATGGACAGTATGTATGGTCATCCGATGTTCAACAGGGAATGCAAATTCCCGTCAGGTGTTAACACTGGTAAACTATCTCCTTAAAGATAAAAATATCAATATCAATAGTTGTGACACCTTTTTGTTGATTATCTCCTCCTCTTTAATAGTTCAGGGCTCTCGGGTAGCCTAGTGGTTACAACGTTTGCTCGTCACACCGAAGGCTCGGGTTCGATTCCCCACATGGGTGAAGTGTGTGAAGCCCATTCTGGTGTCCCCCGCTGTGATATAGCTGGAATATTGCTAAAAGCGGCGTAAAACCATACTTATTCTTTAATAGTTCATGATGTGTTTTAGAGGAGGTCCATAACATTATTATTATTATCATTATGATTATTGCTGTATTATTATGAAGGCTGTAACGATTCACTCGCATATTCGCTGAATCTAACCGTAGCCCTTCATGAATTCAATTCGTTATTCGTGGTCACCAGAACCGAATATTTACGATTTTTTTAAGGGAGCATGTTTCACTTGAACCCTTAGGTCCTTTCCAAAGTGAGATATGCAAGAATGGAACATGTACTAGCATTGCAGTAGTGCAAGTCATGTTAGTTTGCCAAGACTGCACATGGTACTGTCGACTATAACTATTACATACCAAATTTGAGTGTCATGAGATCACTGGTTATTGCTGTGACAAATCAAAACTGTCAATATGGGCGTTCCATAAAGTGCATCAATCACTTAACTACAATATTGTGTTCGTGAATAATTATTCGTATTCATTACCAAAAAAAATGATGCGTTATCATATTCGCCACATAGTGTATTCGTTGCAGCCCTAAATATTATGATCATCCTGGCCTCACAGGATGGAGCAGGATTGTGTGAGGGATGTCGGTATGTCCTCTTCACTATCACTGATTCATGTTTCAGAGATATGCAATGTCTGCGGGCCTGTATTTCTTCAAATGTCCTCTGTGCAACAGCAAAGATTTGTTCCAGTCTGAGATGCTGCACTGTGGAATATACATCCCTGACCAGTAGGTGTTTCTATTGAACATTTAGACCTATATGTTGTATGTTTAATAATTGCATGTATGGTGGTATAGTCTAGGTAGACTTTGTGGCTGTCCAGTATGGAGTGTTTGGACCTTGTCATTAAGGATCACCTCCATGGCCTAGTGGACAGTCTCTGCCTAAAGAGCTGTAGGTCCTTGGTTTGATCCCAATGCAAAGTCATACTGAAAGATGTGAATCGCCTGGTGCTTGGTTTCAAAGTCTGTAAAACGTGTGTGTATTGGGAAGGGGGATGATATCCAACGAGTTCAGAACTCATTTCTGAATATTGGTGTGTCAAAACTAAATTTTGTTTCAAAGCAAATAGCCATGTCTTATATTTAAGAACTAGCTTTATCATTGCCATATTTTGCTGTGATATTCTCCTTGCATACATAGAATCTGTCCACTGATGTAAGCATTTTATCAATAGAATGTATATAAATATGAAATAGAATTTAAAAATAGTTAACAGCGTAAATGGGGATTAAAATTAACGTTCATGATTTTGCTTGCAGAGATGCTTCATGGGAGCGAGAGCCAAATGCCTACCAGGATCTGTACGAGAGATATTCTCACTGTGATGCCGCCAATTGCAAGTGTCTGCAAGGCCGAGATTATGACCAAGACGGCACGTACGTTGATGACATCAGACTTTACACTGGTCATCTGAGAGCATGGCATCTCAGCATTTTGTTGGATTCTCGTACTAATGTCATAATATTCCTGAGTGCAAACAAGCAAAGCAAAAACTCATGTCTAATGAGTATTATCACCAAGTTTTGCGCAGTTTCAGATATAAGAGATTCCCAATATATCACTTTACCATGCATCTTTTTGTCCCCCGCCGCAACGCGGAACGGGGGACTATGTATTCAGCGGCGTCCGTACATACGTACGTCCCGATTCTTGTTAACGCGATATCTCATGAACTGTTGTACCCAATGTCTTCAAATTTGATGACAGCATACATTGGGGGATTATGCAGACACCAGTTGATTTTGGGTGATCTTGACCTTATCTTCAAGGTCAACACAACACTTTTCACACTTTTTTACTCTTGTTAACACGATATCTCATGGACTGTTGTACCCAATGTCTTCAAATTTGGTGACAGTTTACATTGGGGTATTACGCAGACACCACTTTATTTGGGTGACCTCATCTTCAAGGTCACCACGATACTTTGACCGCTTTTTAAAGGCGATATCTCATAAAACATTGCACTCAGTGTTTTCAAGTATGTTGACAGCCTACGTTGGGTGATTATGCAGACACCAGTCATTTCAGGCATCTTGTATGTGACCCAAAAATAAAAAGTAGTAAATATGGATACTCCATTCTTTAGCGGCGGGGGACATTGCCATATCAGTGGCAAACACTTGTTATTACATTGGATTGGAGTTTTGTGAAAGCCACACCACAGTATAAGACACGTTTATAACACTTTTATTATAACTTTGAATGAGGTTTTGCTGTACTGATGTGCTTGTTTTCCTGGATACAGGAAGTGGGAGATCATAGTGTGTGAGTACTGTGGCTCGAAGGGCAGCCATGCTGCTTGTCAGGGCCTGGTACTTATACGCAAGGACTACGCCTGTGAAGAGTGTGCAGAGATTGAGAAGAAAAGTAAGTTTCACATGTCCACGGATCTGATTAGGGAATGTCTTTCATCTGCTTTTCATTTGTCAGAATTATGGCGAAGGTAATTAATCTCTAAATGTCAAAACGTTACGAGAGACCTTTTATCATGCATGAAAACACAAAGTCAGAAGTTAAAAGTAAGGGGCATATATATTTTTTATGCATACATACATACATACATACATACATACATACATACATACATACATACATACATACATACATACATACATACATACATACATACATACATACATACATACATACATACATACATACATACAATTTTTATACGTTTATATGTATAGACATTATATCTTCCTCTCTGTTTTGATCACAGGAGGTAAAAAATGTGGAAAGAAGAGCCCACCTCGTGTACGGAACAGAACACAAGCTGAACTTCAACACCTTCTAGAAGCGAGGGTCGCAGAACTTGTCACACAAAAATCCAACCAAGATACAACCGATTCTAGACAAACAACTCCTAAATCTAAAGGCAGCCCAGCCACGCTGGGTCCTCTAAGGTCAGTGCGTCGATCGAGGGGAGATGGAAGTGGAGATGTTGTAGTCATGCAGCATGAAGGGACAGATGCCGAGGTTGATGTGGAAGGTACTGGGAGTGACGACGAGGCCTCCCCTTCCGAAACTCCTGCCATGAAGAAAAGGCGATTGAGTTTGCAACGATCATCCCGATCCCAAACTAAGAAAATGGGAAGCACAGTGAGCAGTGGTTCACATTCATCAAGTATTCGTACTGCAAGGTCAAAAAAGTACTCCAATTATGTAACTCTGTCGACAGTGACAGACAAGGATGTGAGGAAGTGGGGTACAAGACAAACAGAATCAACTAACTCTGCATCCATACTCAATTTTATGGATGATAGTGACGACATGTCGCAGACATCTGACACTGACAGTGAAATGTGTGCAGTGGATGAGGTGCTCGAGGATTCCACAAAGAAGACAGTGACCATCAAATGGAAAGGGAAGAAGATCAAAATCTATAAAGAAGTGGAGAAGGATGATAGTGAGGATATTTCCAAATGGAGTCTTCATCTCGAGGTTGGGGACTCCGATGATCTTCAGCCTTCCACCTCCGGGACACCACCTCCAGACCGGGAGAAGGTCCAGGAGGAGTCACCACCTCAACTTGTTCCAATAGATGACGAAATAACAATCAGATGCACGCCCCCAACTAGACCATACATGCTGAATATGAGACAGCAGATGGACAAAATCAAGGGACAAGATGTGAAACTGGAGGAAGCTCCACCTGTTTTGTTTCCAGTTTGGGAAGAGGATTCTCAGAGAGGCGACAGTCGAATTACACGCAGCATGTCTGTCGAAAGCAAAAATAGTCACTGCCAAGATTTTCTTGACTCTAAAGAGATCATGTCCCATGATACAATCACACCTAGACATTCAAGAAGGTCACTAGAATGTGCTTTCACTTCTCAAGATAATCGATCTGAGTCACCTTGTTTGGTGGGAAGAAAAAAACATGATTTTGATGCTGAGAGTATTTCATCAACAGCCAACTCAGTTATCTGCTTGTCCTCCAATGTGAGTGAAACTGGTGAGAATGAAAGTGACTGCCTCATAGTGGAACCTGTGTATGTGACCGAGAACCAACGAAATGTTTCAGACGGTAAGGTGTCCTACTCGGCACAGATTGCCGTGGGGAGTCCATTCAAGGATAAAGAATACCCCGAGACTGTACCCTACCGCCAGATTACATCCGGGCATGGCAATGTAGGTGTGGTGATAGACTTGACCGACAGTCCGTCTGAGACTTGGCTCGGCTTTTCTGATACTGATACCTCATCCAGACCAAACAGGTCGTCATATTCATAGTCAGGAGCTGTTAGTAACATTCATAAGTTCAACTGTTTGATGATCATGATCATTACAATCATATGCATACCAATAACATGCTTCAAGGACAGCCAAGTCTTTGTTTGGCTCTTGGACAGCAAGAATTTCTGCTTACTTTCCAGGGCTACAACAGAGGCCCTGACTCAAATTTGCAGGAAACAATTATAACGAAGTAAGATCTTTTGGTTCTCATACACAAGTCATTTAGATTATTTCTAATTTGCAGTAAGACCAACAAGGAAATCCTGAACCTCGGGTACCCCGGTTGTTGTGGATTAAAAGTCAAGAATTTGTAATCTGAGAGCCACTCTATATATTTTTTAAATGGTAATGTGGTTATAACGCATAAGTATGAAAATATACTTACTTGCCAGCAAGTCAGTTATATTATCAATGTAACCATGGAAACTATGTTGACCTGTAGCAGACAGACCGCTTTGATTTTTTTTAACCCGATGGTACTGGTGGTTACATGTATTTTCAAGTTGCAATAAGCAGATTGTCCACAAAAATGGCTAGTGTGACATTTGCAATTTACTCTTGATTCCAATGACCCAAGATATACATAACTTTCTAACTTGCATTGAGAGATTGACTACATACACAAAGTCAATCATTGTTTGCATTTTGATACAAAGGCAAAATATATTGTTCGTGCATCTTTAAACAGGGGTGTTCGGGAGAAGTGGGGGAGCCTCACCAGGTGCTAATACTATACACTGATGACAGCTAGAGATTAAATGGTAATTACAAGCTCTGTGCTTGCTTGTGAATTCGGCTGATTTGTAAAGACCATGAAACTGGTAATCTAGACTTGCCACATATTCCAGACTGGCATGGTCTGTATTGAGTATGTTTTTGTCAGGGTTAGTATGAATCTCCTTAAAGTCACACGTGAGGACTACAAAATACTGCTTCTGTATTGATAAAGAAAGATTTAAATAGTTTTACTTGATTGCTTTGTGTGAATTTAATAATAAAACATTTATCTGAATTTATATATATATATATCCCTTGGACAAAATTTCTTTTAACAAGTAATCCCAGTGCAGGGTGAAACTGGTGTATTATGTGCAGATATACCCATGATAGGTTTATAGAGGTTTGACCACTCATTCTTGGAGCAGAGTTTAACTGATTAAAAGTACATTTATTAGAACAGTATTGAAATGCTCAATTGCCCTACAATAGCTGATTATTTTCCCATTGTCTCCTGATTTGTTAAGATGACGTTCCAAGAAAGAAATACAGATATTCACAATATTTGTTTTCAGTGTCTTTTACATTACAATGCTGCTTATGTTTCTCACATAACTCAGTGTTCAGTCCGTGTGACATGACTGTTGGCTTTGAACCTCTATTCAGCCACTGTATAGTTTACTTTCATCCATGTAGTTCTGTGTACAGTCACTATATTTATTATTCAGAAATGGCTTGAGTATTTGTAGCCCTCATGGAAGTAATATAGAATGTTTCTTAAGCTGATGTGTACTAAATTCTCTGTATTCTGTATTCAATGTTCTTATGCATATCATACCAACATCTGTACAATGACATCTGTTAACCAAGTCAGCAAGCCTGACCACCCGATCCTTTTAGTCGCCTCTTACGACAAGCATGGGTTACTGAAGATCAATTCTGGCCCGGATCTTCACTGGTCTCACAGATAACAAGTGTAGAAGGGGAATAGATTTGCCTAGTAATTATTATAAAAAATGCTTAAATTTCAATGACATTTACACTAAGTTTGTTCACAACTACTCGATCTCTGAACATAATTGGGCTCCTTTGGAGTTTTCATATACATCCTCCATTGTCAATTTTCTAGATGCCGTTCGTGCTTATCGTGAAACTGGTAGTGTTAATATCTGGAAATTTGTGTGAGCTGCAGAGTGTTTTTGTTGTATTTTTATTATAGCTGAGGAACAAACCATCCTTTTCGAATGGAAATATAGGCTTATTGGCCCACAAGATATACATAATATAAGATTTGAGCAAAACTTTCAGAAATTGTTATGCAAGGTTATGAGACATGTTCATATGAATGAGAGCTGCTGCGACCACTACATGCATTGGTAAAATGTACAATTTTCTATTTAAGGTGTTTTCATAAAGTGTTTTTTCAAATGTTCGAACGAGTCTTTGACCTGAGTTGATGTTTATAGATGTACATGAAAACACTCAACTTGTACAAGAATCTTGGGTCACAGACTTGCATCCTTTGATTATCATTTGAATGTCTAAAAATAATCCCTACCTTTTCTACTCATTGTAACCGTATTTCTGTATTTCACCATGTCCACTTGGAAAAAATTACATTCATGAGAAAGAATAAAAGCTACTGTCAGCTATTTGAACAAATGCGGTATGATTATATACCCGAAGACCCAGGTTCAATTCCCCACATGGGCACAATATGTGAAGCCCGTTTCTTCTTAAAGTGGCATAAAACTGAACTCACTCATTCACTTCCGTTCAGAGCAAGTTAAGTATCGTGAATATTATAGGTTTTTACCAGGAATATATGGTTCATTTGATTTATTCTTGGAATAAAACTGAATGTTTCATTTTCTTTGAATTCCTTGGTGTTAAATATACTTTTGTTTCTTTGTACTGAGATTTTTTATTATCATTATTTTTAAAGAACAGTGTGATTTCAATAAAATCATAACATTGTTCTTATTTGACCTTTTATCGGTTAATCAAGTAAATGAACTCGGTCTGTTTGAACCAAGAGATGTTTACATTTTACCTACAGTTGGTTGTTCTCTTTATTGGTATATTTCAGTGGCTAGACAGTAGCAGATTGGTTAATGTAATTGTTTCCTTCAATCAGTGTTATGTTATGCGTAAAACTTACGTTAAAGCCCAGGTCTGTTCAGGTTTTTGCACATATAGGATGTATTTAGCATCCAGTTAACACCCTGAGCTACTAGATGAGGTTCTTGTGGAGTTGAGATAACACAGATATCCATTCTGATGTGACTGTAATGAAACACCACAGGGGCCCGAGACATGTCATAGTTGTAACATCACAATTCATGTTGACTGCTTGTCACAATTCATTATGACAGTAATTGCAGACCTTTGTTAACTGTTTGAAGAATAGATGCTGTTGGGTAAGGGACCGTTTATAATTTATGGCTAGAGAGGGGTGATGATGATTTTGAGGGGGTGGGGGTCACCCATTTTGTTCTAGGGAGGTGGGGGGTCATCAATTTGGTACACGTTTCTAGGGGGGGTCAGCAATTTGGTACATAATAAAAAATATTTTAAATTATGCTTAAAGCTTAAAAATATTGGAAGGGGGTCATTGATTTTGTACGTGACATGCAGGGGGTGTCACTTACTTTGTACATAAATTTGGGGGGGGAATTCACATTGTACATGCTTCTCCATAAAAATCATCATCACACACCCCTGGCCATAAATTATGAACGGTCCCTAAGACTGCAAATTCATTTGTTCAATGATGTATTTCTGTGATACACAGTATTGCATTTTTAACAATTTTGTTGTGTAAAAACTTTATTGTTTCAAGACAGGCAGTTTGCTCCATGAAATGGCAAGGTGCCGTGTGTGTGATTCAGCTGACAATGTAACATTGTTCATTCTGTAAGATGTGGAATAAAAATGTGTACAATGTCGGTACAGTTCATGCATGTGTATGGTCATGAAGATCTGAGCACGTTTATCCCCAGCAGGAGAGAACAGTTGGAATTGCACATAATGATGGTGTATATACTTGTGAGAAGGTTAAATAATTTATATGCAGCAAAGCTCAGCTGTAGTAATTGAGAAACACAATAAGAACAGTTGACATTGGTGAAAATTGTGACATCATGGCAGTATCATGATCACACAAGATTTGTACATTGGCATGTTGATATTTCAGTGTGCAGATGCAAAACTTTCACCTGCAAAGCACATCTTGAAGCAAATTGCTGCATTGCAAAATGAATCTTATAGTTGCCCCAGTCTGCTATATCTTGAGGAACACAAGTATGCTGTAAAACATGTTTCTGATAATGCAAAAGTTGACATACACAAGTTTCCTCTATTATGTTTAGAACTAAATGCCATTCAAAGATTTGATAAGTATTGGCAACAAACATCCTGTGCTAGAACGTTTGTAAAAACAGATGTCATTAATGATTTTGACTGTGTGGTTAATTATTTCAGTTATTCTCTATGATTGTGCTTAATGTTTAGTTGCGATTTACTTGATTTCTGTGAATCTAAGTGCTACAACTGTAACCGGTCACAAGTTGGTTAGAAATCATCTACAAGTAGCTCATCTCCAGGCTTGACTGACATGTTGTGCCATATTGTCATATTGCTGACAGACGTCCATGGTATACACAACTTCAACCCTGAGGTAATTGTTGCTGTTCATGTGTCATGTTAACAGATGAGTCTTGATTCTCTTCACACTGTTTTCATAGGCTTCAAACCAAATAAAACCAGAGACATCATGTACAACTTAGTGGCTTGGTCATTAGGTCAGGTGGCTTCAGGTAAATCCCACATCATATTCAAAGAAGCAAGGGTCACTGGACAGTACTGAGAACAATATACTGACACCCTTTGATGTCAAGTTTGCAAGCCATTTAGATGTCAGGACAGCAATGCCCAAGATCACCACGCACAATTATCATTGCTTATTTGCAGCAATACAACATCCATCGAATACCATGTCTAGCAAGGAGGTGCTAAAGGAATGAGACCTTTTTAAATAACCTACATAATATTCTTCCTAGAGCAAATGAATGTTTGTCAAATCATGCCAGTATTATGTATTACTGATTTTTAAAAAACCTCGAAATTTGGCCATCTTGCCCTTGCCATCTTGTAAGGTGTTCCTATTATTTCAAAGTGTGCCCGACTGTTTTTAAGACTATATATTTGTGTATATTTATAACAACGGAGATAAGTTCATGTATTTTTATGAGCAAATTTCATTTAAGTTTTGAACATGTATGGACAATACGGATCTGATGCTGGAGTTGTGTGATGTTGTGAAGTAAACTCTGCACTGAAACATAATGTACTGTTATGACTTGGTGTGAGGCAGAAAATCTGATTGTTGGATGTTTTCTGCAATCTACAAAGCATGGGATACATAGCATGTGCTACAGCAGCTTTGTTTCAGCTGGCCTTTAGTTTTACACACATACCCTAAAAATGATAAAGGCATGACTTTCAGTTGTTAGTACAGGTGCCTGAACCATTATCAGGCAAGATTGAAGGAAGAAAGAAGTCAGACCTGTCTTCCTTCATAGAAGTGTCTGTCACTTTTAGAGACACCTTCATACAATGGACTTGACTGGAAAACCTGTGGGTTTGGAAATGGTCATGGTGCACATGGCTTGACAGGAATGATGTACAACCCAGTTGGTTCATCTCAAAACACACTATATGAAACATACAAAGTCTAAACCCAACTGATCTCACAACACAGAGATTATACCCAATCAACAGAGGAACTTTGATTTAGGTCTGTTTTATTATTTCACTTTTTAGATCCCATTGTGTCAGATGTGGGAGGACACAAAGTAATCGTTACACATCTTTGGAACTCCAAAACTAAAACTGGTCAGCTCAGTCTCTATACTGGATTATTCATGTTAAAACTGTGGCATGGTATCTCAGTGGGGAAAAATCCCCATAAAACTAACAATAGTCCAGTGAGTTAGTATGGTTTTACACCACTTTCAGCAACATCATGGAAGGGGACACCACAAATGGGCTTCACACATTGTACCCATGTGGGGAATCAAACCTAGGCCTTCAGCATGACAAGCAAGCTCTTTAACCACTAGGCTATCCCACCACTCCAACTTTAGTCCAGGCTAGTACAAGCAAAGGCAACAATCTCGAACACCTCACACCCAAAACTACACATTGTGAGTTCCTTATTGCAGATTAATACATCTGTGGCTGCAGTTATTCCAGTTGGTTTTTAACTTTGGTCAATTATCTCTGGATTCATGGATCGGTAATTCTCTTCCCACAGAGGTTACTTGTCATATCTTCCTACGTAAACTCTGTTCTAATACGGCCCTTTCATGGTGTGAGCGTTCAAGACTGGTGATTGGAGGCAATCAGATTTAGTTGTGCAATCAGCGACGTTGTTTCAAAAGTGATCATTCGCAAGGCCTCGGTAATTTCCGTATGCTTCGAGAAAACTAAACCTCGCGCAATGCTCAAACGTTTCTTCTAGACAGAACTCAGTCATGTTATGGCGGATCAGTGGCGTCTCCATCGCCCTCGTTGACAACGGACAAGCTAGCCATTAAACGTCTTGTGTGTAACATCAACACAAGTCCCCAGCAGATGGGGATATTTGTGGCCCCACATTTGCTTGTGTTAGTCAAGTTGAATCTAAGTCGATGTGACACGTGTTCTGATTGGATAGAAAGAAGGGAGATAATTCGTTTTGCCGCTAGGGGATTTTAGGAGAACAGGGAAATATGGCCGTATTAGAACAGAGGTTACGTAGGAAGATATGACAGGAGTAACCTCTGTGGGAAGAGAATGTGGATCGGTATTCTTGGTGGAAATCAACAGTCGACATGATGTCACAAAAAAACAACACTATGAGATAGTCATAATATTCATTCAGGGCATGCTGTTTTCAGTGTCTCTAACACATACTGATAAACATGACTTGTGACCTAATACCTTTCTTGATTCAACACCTTCACAACACAATATAACATGCTGTATTGAGGAAACAATGATCATTAAACACCACTTGGTGAACATGGCTTTCTAAAACAATAATCAAAACATTACCTATGATAAAAGATGAAGGAAACTGAAAGAAGACAAACAATAATTTCAAAATAATGTCATGTTCTGACTTGAATTTAAGTTTGATGTATCACTTAAAAAATTAAAACCATTGCACACTTCAACCATTTATGGTAAATGTAAAATTATAATAAATTTGACAATTATGAGTATTGTGAGAATGAAATATAATGCAATTTGTATTTTAATGTTCCAAGATGAATACAAGCAATGTCCTAAATGCAGTCCCAATTCATGGACAGGGACAAAGTCACAATTCATGGACAAATCAACAAAATAATAATAAAAATGTTACTTAAAACAATGTTTCAGGTAGAATACATCTTTGAAACATGAACAGTGTTTGAGCAACAGATCACAGGCGTACAACTGGCAACAGAATTATATCCAGTCACACTGGACGGAATATTCATAAATAGAGAACTCATTTCTTACAGGAAACGCCATATTTGATATTAAGCACCCAAGGCATACAACCTATCCACTGAGTTTTGACTGAACCAAATTAAGCATATCAAACCTATGACATCACAATAAAATCTTCAGGTGGAGAGGATGTTTTGTGTAAAAGTGAATCAGCCAGGACCATTTGGGGAAATTGTTGCTAAAGTTAGGAAGACATGCATTGGTAAACATCTGTCTGCAGTATCACATTAAAAAAGCAGAGTACTATAGGGACGTAATGCTACAGAACTTTGATTAAATACTTAACAGGACCCATGTTTCAAAATGCTGAAATGCCGAGGTAAATAATTTCATCCTTTGCTTCTTGAAGCTGAGAACAGATATGGCATCAGCAATGTATTTGAAATAACTGTTAACAGAAAAATGATTGATCAATCGCTGCCATGTGATGTGTATGTTGGTAAGTCCATGGAAGAGGTGGTAACCATCACTTGCATCTTTCTGTGTAAAACTTCGGGGACCACAATTTCAGATATTGCTGGCACACGTTTCTAAATGTGATGAGCCAACTGGCACATCTGGGTTAAATCCTGGCTGAAGCACTGGTATTATCTTAAAAGATACCAATGAACCATGGTGCTTAATACTCAAATATGGCAATATATGTTGTAACAATCATTTTACCCTTCCTGAACGCTAGTTCCAGGGAGATATCTACAATACTGGCAGCATAGGTCATCACAGATATTTTGGCAATGTGAATAGATTTCAATGTACAATTAATTCTGTTACCTTAAGCCATATTTTGACAATTCTCACTTTGCGAAACTGAAAATTTCCACTCAAACGAAGTTAAAGAACACCACATTCTTTCATGTTACAAGGCCTTGAAATAGCTATTACTGCAATATGACAGTATTTTGTGTTCTTCAACTTCTCATCAATAGTACATAAATGTAACAAAGAATTCATATATGTCAACTTCAAACATTTCATTTAACATTTCTCGTGTTATCGAGAGCTATCACGGATGTTTCGATAAATCACAACATACTATTACATATTTCAGATATGAAAACAGTAAAATAATTTGTCCCTGAACCCAACAAGTGACACACCTCCTTCACCATAAGAAAGACTGAATTCACTTAGTCATGATTATGGTAAACTAAAAAAACTTCCTGAACAGTGAAAGCTGTAGTGGGACTTCATAATCTTGGCTTCCTTTCTAGTTATCTCTTGTTGTTGCGTACATTGTTCAATCTGGAACAAAGAAGGTATTGATGACATTTAGTTTATTACACATGTAGTGGCCATGAAATTCCTGTGCTGGGATTCGAACCATGGACCTTCTGATCTGAAGTCGGATGCCTTGTCCACATTACCAAAGAGGTTAACCCCCGTTGGATGATGCTATTTTCATCGTAGTGAAGAATGTACAACCATCAAAACTGTAAAACCAGGGGTCTGATCCATAAAGAGTTTGTAGATTTACGAGTTATTGTAACTATATAGTATATTTACAGCTTATGAAAATCATAGTACTATGAACACTTTGTGGATCCCCATAATCAGAGCACTTGTTCAAGAAAATCATACCACTTTTGAGATGGAAGCTTGTCATGTTAGAACTTTATACATGACAATGTTCTAACCTACTGATTCAATATATTTCAATATATTTCAATATTGTTACATGATGAACTTCTAGGGTACTGGTGCAGCAACAGTGGCAAGGACACATTAACCACACTCAGACCACCTACCTGGCCAGACTCTCCACATAGTCAGCTGTGCTCTGAGCAGAGTAGGGCACCTGGTTATTGAGATAGGAGTATTGGCCTCCGTTCCTGTTGCTGTTGTTGTAGCCATAGTTCTGCTGACTGCTGAGGTGCTGGTAGGCCATGCTGTTACCCCCTGTACGGCCCCCACCATTGCCGACATCGTTCTTTGGTACACCCCGTCTTCTACCCCCACCTGCAGATATATTGACATACACAGTTAACTGGCTGGATGATAAACAGCACATGAATGAGGAAAGCATAAAACACTGTCTCAAGTGCTTCCTAAATTCAAGGCAAACCAATGGATATAAGTTGACATCACTATGAAAGCATGTGAAAAATTTAGATTTGAAATCCACAGATTGGTTAAATTTCTCAAGGATTAGTTCATGAAAGCATCACCAAATCTCTGATGTTATTGGCCATGTCATCTCATCAAATTTAGTGAAAACCGTGTACTGACTTCAGCACATTCCAGGTGACATCAAAATATTCAGTGAATTACTGACAACATTTCTAAGTTACAATATAAAGAGACATTATGTGTTTTCTGATTTGCGGATTTGAACAAGTGTTATATGCCAAGATATTTTAGCATTTGATACCGCAGGCCAATGTAGATGATTCCAAATAAAATTTCCAGCCATTAATACTTTAAAAAATATCTGAATATAAAATGGTTATCTCCTAACAGTTTAATGTAGTTGATCAACATTAGAAGTCTGTTCAACAGTAGGGAAGGTGATATCCTCGATAATCTCCAGGATTTACGTGCCTATAAATCTCCACTAGTATGCATTTATGGCTCGGCCCGATAATTGTATTACCTCCCTTTGCTGGATCAGCCTTCTCACAGTAGCCAATCAGATAAGCCGTTACAACCGAGCTTACCTGTTTCAACAAAGATGGTGGCCGCAGATTTAGGGAAATAATCATACAGACAAATACACACAACAATGGTGTTGCCAAGTTGAATTGGTTAGATAAAAGAAGCGAAAGTGAGTTATGATAGAAGCCTTGTGACTGGTACATATAACCTCCCAGGGTATACACCTGGTTGGATAAAAAGCCAGCAAAATGAGGTAATAAAATTATCGCACCACAGATGCATCCAGGACACTAGTGGAGATTTATTGGAACGTATACCCTGGAGATTATCAAGGGTGGGAAGGTCAAGGTATCAGAAGATTTGGCTTCATTGGTTGTCCATCAGGGCCCCGTTTCACAAAGCTCTCATAAGCCTAAGATCTTGTAACTTTTCTCGAAGCATTCCTACTTCCTATACTGTAACATTGACTGACGATAGTCATAACGCTATGAGAGATTTGTGAAATGGGGCCCTGGTTGGTTGTACCCAAACTCTAGTGGATTAGATAAAATTAACTGTGTGAATGTAATGAGGGTGTCCAAGGATGTCAGCTTCAACCCAAGCAGTGTGAGATTAGTGAAAATATCACTACTTATATATGCACAAGATGTTTTGTTTGTTGTTTAATGCCGCACTAGCTATATGGCGGTGGTGTGTAAATAGTTGAGTCTGGAGCAGACAATCCGGTGCTCAGCAGCATGAGCATCATCTACGCAATTGCTATACCATGACACGTGTCAAACAAGTTAGTGAGCCTCACCACCCTAACCCAGATATATGCACAAGAGACATGGGAAGGTAGATCCAGGTAAAAATATAGCTGGACTCCTTTATGTCCTTGACATAATGACTGTGTCATCACTAGTTATGACAACAGATGAATGGGTGTTATAAGAAATAATAGGAAAGAGCCTGGTCAGTGCTGCACTTACCTCTTTGTACATTTGAGTCAGTAGCCTCATCGTAATAAACTGCCCCACTCCACATTGGTGGGGAGGACAACTGGACATTGGTCACTTTCACCGGAACTGAGGTCTTGTACTGACCAATACCAGGAAGCGTTGCCTCCACTGTGGTGGTTGTTGTTGCAGTTGGCTGGAACATCACAAGTTGTGATAGTTAGTATTGTCTATGGAGATAAAGAATCTCCCTAAATACCTCTGTCAAATCTTTTCTGGACTGTATGTAACATTGTATACATGTATTAAAATTTACTACCATCACTTGTCTCCATGTCATCAGTTAGTTAAGACTGGTATGATATAGCATTCCAAAATGATCATGCATGGCATCAGGTGGTTGACCAATATTTATTCAACCACTGTCAACTGGCTGGCCATGGATGCAGATATATGCTCGTGCATGCTGTTTGTCATGTACATCCTATGGCATATATGTTAAAATATGTTCTGAATATTTTTAGGCAGACATGTGACATATCTGTAGATGAAAGTAAACAGTATGTCTTCATGAACATTTTACTTTGATGTCCAAGATATTTTTATGGATTAAACTTCTTTTGAATTTCTCTCCGCGACGTTTGAAATTCAGGTCCCTTCATCTGGTGAAATGCCACTGAAAGACAGTTTCTACTTTGTTAGAGAACATATATTTAGGAATAAATCAATCATTGTGATGAATGTCTACTAAACTTACCTGGAAGTAGACCTGCTGGTCAGCAAAGTACAGCTCAGCCTTTGCACGTTCCTCATCAGAAACCGGGAGACCATCAATAACTACTAGCTGTGGCATGCGGAACACCAGCATTGGTCGGTGCATCAGGCGCCGAGATATCTGTACACAGACAGACATACTGTCAGCTCTTTTAGCAGCTAATGCCAAGATCCAAAAGAAATATATTCAACATTATGAAGCAAACTTCATGTAGCCTTATTGCCACCTGCCACTGCAAAAGATCCTTCAGTGCAAGAAAATACTACTCAGCTGCACATCCTTTGTTGTGCAAGTCCTAAAACTTATACAAGATAACAAGTTAATATGAGACACTTACCACATTGTTAACTATGGAAATCTCCACAAGGTTTGAGAGAGAGTCCAGTTTCTCCAGTTCAGACAAATCCTGAAAGTATAATAATCATAAAGTTATAATGGATACTGGTCACCTTAACACCCAACTCACTATATTAAATCACAACAGTGTTATAGACTCTACTGCTCTTGTATTACTGTATCACCCCCACCGGCATGTCCTACTGTCCTATACACCTATATTCAATTAGATTGTAGATACAGTCTCTGTAGGTTTTACTGATCACCCACCTGCATTCTGGTAGACCCCAGATACTGTCTCTGTAGGTTCTACTGACCACCTACCTGTATTCTGTTAGACCCCAGATACAGTCTCTGTAGGTTCTACTGACCACCCACCTGTATTCTGGAAGACCCCAGATACAGTCTCTGTAGGTTCTACTGACCACCTACCTGTATTCTGGTAGACCCCAGATACAGTCTCTGTAGGTTCTACTGACCACCCACCTGTATTCTGGAAGACCCCAGATACAGTCTCTGTAGGTTCTACTGACCACCAACCTGTATTCTGGTAGACCCCAGATACAGTCTCTGTAGGTTCTACTGACCACCCACCTGTATTCTGGTAGACCCCAGATACAGTCTCTGTAGGTTCTACTGACCACCCACCTGTATTCTGGTAGACCCCAGATACAGTCTCTGTAGGTTCTACTGACCACCCACCTGTATTCTGTTAGACCCTAGATACAGTCTCTGTAGGTTCTACTGACCACCCACCTGTATTCTGGTAGACCCTAGATAGTTGTCTCTGTAGGTTCTACTGACCACCAATACAGTCTCTGTAGGTTCTACTGACCACCCACCTGTATTCTGTGTAGACCCCAGATACAGTCTCTGTAGGTTCTACTGACCACCCACCTGTATTCTGGTAGACCCTAGATACAGTCTCTGTAGGTTCTACTGACCACCCACCTGTATTCTGTTAGACCCTAGATACAGTCTCTGTAGGTTCTACTGACCACCCACCTGTATTCTGGTCCACCAGATGGTAGACCCACCCACCTGTAGATACAGTCTCTGTAGGTTCTACTGACCACCAACTACTGTATTCTGGTAGACCCTGGATACAGTCTCTGTAGGTTCTACTGACCACCCACCTGTATTCTGTTAGACCCTAGATACAGTCTCTGTAGGTTCTACTGACCACCCACCTGTATTCTGTTAGACCCTAGATACAGTCTCTGTAGGTTCTACTGACCACCCACCTGTATTCTGTTAGATACCCTCTGTAGATACAGTCTCCCTGATACAGTCTCTGTTCTACTGACCACCCACCTGTAGACCCTAGATACAGACTACCCACCTGTATTCTGTTAGACCCCAGATACAGTCTCTGTAGGTTCTACTGACCACCCACCTGTATTCTGTTAGACCCTAGATACAGTCTCTGTAGGTTCTCCAGACTGCTGAGGTTGGAGAGGTCACGGACTCTGTTCTCTTCGAGGTGAAGCTCCACTAGATTCCACTGATTGATGAATGCCAACTCAGATACTCCCTTGATTTTGTTTCGATCTAAGACCAGCTCACGTAAATCATGCAAGCCATCCAAACCTTCAACTTTTGTGATTTCATTACCTGTGAAAAGACCCATCAGACTGACAATAAACACACTACCTTTTACTGGTCAAGATGGTCTAACTGTACATCCTGTGAGATTATCTGTATTTTCATCCAAGTGAGAGTGAGTATTTTATCAATGTAGCTCATACACACCACTATCATGGGAAGTTACAGATGAGGAACTCTGGTTAATAATTCTTGTTTCTGGTCAACTAAATGTACAATATTTGATTTTACTAAGCATCCTGCAGCTCCTGAAAGAATTCTATACCAATCTTTCCATAATCTCTATAAGCACCAAAGACAGTATGTCCTTGTGTATTCACAGAAAACAATAACATATAAAGGGTATATAAGTGAATTGTAATTATTTCAGTCCAGTTTGAGTTGCTCAATATGCAGAATTTCTTAGCAGCCAGGGTCTTTAGTACTTTGAATGTGACATGCACCTAAGTGATTAGAATAATGACAATTACACAAAACAGTTCAGTTTGAATTTACATCATCTCGAGACGTCCCTCCTGTTATGTTAAACTTGTCTATTTCTGTACAGTTCAGTTCAGAAATGAAGTAATGCATATCTGAGTCTCACCCTGTAAGAAGAGTGCTTTCAGAGCTGGAAGACGACTAAGCTGGAGGGCTCCCATGTCTTTTATACAATTGTATCTGTGGAAAAACATGAGAAGGTATTAACCAATGTGTCCTCCCTGTTCCAGGCTCATGTCCACACACTGATGAATTACCACCAACTCAGAAAACAAGATGCTCTGAAGGACTTCAGTTATATTTGTTTAATGACAAGAGTAAATTCTTGCATAAAATAATGTGTTTGTCATATATCATAGCCCAAGTTTTCTCCTTGTCTTACATAATAAATGCATTACATATATAAAGAGAATGTTTGCTTTTTGTAATGTGAGACAAAAGCAAATGCACATAATGATGAGTTTACCCAAGATGTAGGACCTCCAGAGATTCCAATACAGGTGTAAATGATTCAGTGTAGAACTCAATGTTCTTTGAGGGGATGCTGCCGGCTGGAAACTTCTGCTTGGTGTTGGCAGGTTTTGACCGTGGCAGGATACACTCGATGTGGTTGTGGTTCAGGCACAACACCTACAATAACCATATGGTTGGATACATTGATGTGGTTGTTATAAACATCTGCAATACACATGTGGCAGGGTACACACCATATGGTTGAGGATGGGACACATCTATGACAATAAGCATACGGCAGCATATACTCGATGTGGTTCTACCTGTACACATCATCATCACTGATGACATCACATGATCATTGTACAATTCTGCAAAGAATAGACAATCTCACACCAATAGGTGACATCTCACTGATACATGACATATAGGCTTCCAATTGCTTGTTCCTGATACACAAACATTATATTCCTCCTTAGCAAGATGTTTCTGTGTGTGATGTAGATGAAACTCACCCTCAAGTTGACAAGATGGACCAGCCCTGTGAACGATGTCAGGTTATTGTGCTCCAAGTTCACACTGCAAACAATTAATTATAGCACATTTTACAACAAAGAATGACATCATGGTTAAAGATATTTTGTGGGATGGGAATTTGACAAACAATTTCAACAAATGCAGGAAACAATCAAGCAGGGCTGTTCACCATACTTTTCTGTACATTAAATTATATTTCTTGCTTATGTTGAGATGAGTTTATTTCTATGTTATTTCGAACATGTTACCTCCTGAGGTTAAGAAACTGTTCCCCTGCACCAAGGTCCACGGTCCTGATCGAGGAATTTGGTAGGTCCAGTTCCCGAACTTCATGGAAATTGGAATGACCTAGTTTCTCAGCAACAAAGTCAGCTGTCAATCGACCACCAAATGTGTCCTTAGCAAGATTCCCCTCTGAAGCTTCCTATAATGAACACAACGACCAACATAAAACACTGCACAACATGAGAAGCATAATTCTAGAAACTTGTGTTCATGAATATGATACAGACATTACCTCAAGAATAAATGATTATTCACCTTTATATTTAAGCTGTCATGATTATACGTACACTACCCTCCACTAAAAATGACATTCAGTTCTCCCCTTCACAACTAAGACATTCACCAAGATATTCTGCAGAGAAATGTTCAATAATTTTCAAGGCATATTATGCAGTTACTCACTATTGCACATCCATCAAGAGCTTTGAGAGTTTTGAGATGGAAGATGACAAACAGACGATAATGGTCCACCTCTACCTCAACTGGGTTGCCAAACAAATCCAGGATGACTAGGCTTGGCAACATCTGCAATACATCACAAATTCCATGGCCATTATCGCAATATATAGATTGAAATGTGGAAATACAAATAGATCATACCAAAGTAGTTTAAGAATCCTGCATTTTGACTGGTCAACTCTGTATCAGACCATAATCTTGCTACTGGGTGTATTACCACGAAAAAATCATTTTAAAAATTCATACACACTTATCAGATCAACTATAAGCAAAGAGTTTGTTTTCTCATCGTGTCAGAATAGGATGGAGATAAACTTAGTGAGTTTTCATTCATGAGGTTTTGAACCAGTAACGGTTTCAAATTCAAAACCTCACTCAGCATTCAGTTCAAATGAAGAAATCATGGGTACCATTGCCAGTAAATTAATGTCCACATGTTCCATATTTGACAGACAATTTCAGAAGGTACCAGTAGAATTTACTGTTGACACTTTCAACCATTAAACTTAAGTGACAGGATGAACCACTGATGCACTGACAGCTTATCATGATGGCTAGACCAAGCAAGTATGTGTTTACGTAAACAATATTCAACAGTAATATGGACATTAGAACACCAGTCTCTTTCATTTGTAAATAGGGATCAACTGAGTCAGTGGCATTACCTTAAGACAAAAGACTTCCCTAATGTTGGAGATTAAGTTGTTGCCGACATAGAGCTCTACCAGCCACGTTGCCCTCTGGATGCCGAGAAGGGAGGTAAGCCTGTTGTCCTCAAGTGATACATAACACAGATGGGTCAGGTTGCTGAAGGCGGCATTGTCCAGTGTGTTGATGTAGTTGTTGCCCAAACTAAGCCGCTTCAGTTTGGTCAGTTTGGCCAGGCCCTCTACCTTCACAATACAGTTGTTCTCTAGTGACAGTTCTTCCAGATTGACACAGGAATCCAGACCCTATGGGGAGGCATAGTGTTACTGAGTGAGTAAACATAAAACACATGGCCCTGTTTAATGATAATAGCTCTATGGCCATCATACATCTATGTAAAGTAATAGCTAATTTGATTACTTTGTGAAATTGATTACTTTGTGAAACATGGTCCATGGCATAAATGTATAATGGCCCAATTCCATGAACAATCTTAGCACTATGACTAACATAAGCCTATGCAAGTTATCACCTTAGCAATAAGATTACTTTATGGATCTGGAACCCGATATATAGTAGTGACTTCCTGTCATTGGTCAGTAAGACTGTTTCTCCTTCGGCTTTGAGAACAAACATACCTCTATCTTTGTCAGGTCATTGTTACTAAAAGATGCCCACTTCAGGTTCTCCAGCCTGTCGAGGTTGGACAGCTTGGTGATGTGCTGACCCTCCAGGTTGAGTGTTGACACTTTCAGATACCACGATGTATCATGCTCTCCGAACTTCTCTGGTTTCTGTCTGCTCATGTGCAGTATGGTCTGTGCGGTGGTGTTGAGACTAAGTGAGCGTGGTGTGGTGGTGTCAATGCGGGACTGGGTGAGGAGGGACAGCTGGGAGATGCGAGACCCTGCGGCTACCCTCAGGGCAGCTGTAGCCTCCTCCTCAGTCACAGGCTGGTCATCTAGCAGGGTGAGGGCCTTCAATCTTCCAATCACACGCAGGCGTAATCCATCAGGCTGAGATTGACATGACAAGAATATCATAATGCTGTAGTTTATTTGCTACTGTTTGTGTGAAAAGCATCATCTGAATAACAGTTTCTAATTTGTTTAGGAGTCTTTTCTATGACATTGCTCTCATTTCAGTGAGGAGTGACCCAACATATTTGTGATAATCACACCACACTGATCAGGTACCAACTTGTTGTAGGAGAAATGCCTTAGGTTAGGTAAAATCTATGAGCACAGGTATGGTGCTAGAAACTACATTCTTAAGTCTATTCATCCTCGATAATCTCCAGAGTATAAATCTCCACTATACCCTGGATGCATCTATGGCTTGAACCGATGATTTTATTACCTCCCTTTGCCGGCTCCGCATTCTCACAGTAGCCAATCAGATAAGCCGCCGTTACAACCGAGCCTGCCAGTGTCAACAAAGATAGCGGTCACAGCCGCGACAGTTTGTTCGCAGATTTTTGGGGAAAACATACAGACAAATTAACAGGTCTGAAATCTTAAAAAAATATATGCAAGAACTCCTTTTACCCCTTTCAGAGTACCCCCTGCAACAATATATTATTATGTTGCCAACTTTAATCGGTTAGATAATTTAAAAAGCAAAAGTGAGTTGTGATTGGTACGCTCAACTTCCCAGCGTAGACACCTGATTGGATAAAAAGCCAACCAAGGGAGGTAATAAAATCATCGGCTCAAGCCACAGATGCATCCAGTGTGTAGTGGAGATTTATCGGAACGTAAAGAGATTATTGAGGATGAAGTCTATTATACGTGATCATATATGAAGATTTATCATACTGAAGTCGCTGATCAATATTGATGCATCATGAGTACTTCATCCTTTATAAAGTACTTTCCTATATATGGTATCCAAGCTGTATGTTTATATTGTCAAGTTAATAGAAATGTTTTATTATATAATTCAGTGACAAAGGCAGATATGTAATTTTTCAAGTAAAATTGATATTTTTGTACTTATCCTGACTCATGATCTTTTGCTTATCTCCCTTTTCCTTGCGAATGGTAGTGGAACATTTGAATCCCTTGAAGTTCCCGAAGCGGACGTAAAAATACACTCACCCACGAGTTACCTCCCTTTTCCTGCGTAAACAGTCATGTGACCAGCCTTACTTGTCACTCTCTCCTGATTTTTCTGTCCATGCACTTGGATCTGCTGTGAAATCCGAGGTGTTTCCAGCAGGGAGGTTGGGAGCGCTTCTCGTCATGAGTCAGGATAAGTATAAAAATATCAATTTTACTTGAAAAATTACATATTTTTTCTTATCCTGACTCATGATCTTTTGCTTATAGAATCCGATGGATTGGTGGTGGGTCAAGCCACTTCGTGGATTCATCAGCTGTCCTTAGATACGTCCTGTATTCCCCCGCCCCCCCCCATGGGAACTGCGTAGCGGCATTTCCGAGATCCTATTCTTCCAACTTCTGTTATAACTCGGGGGACCACTTCTTGTCTTACTTCCATCTCAGACAAGTTGAATCATCTTGATTCATGTGGCTTCAGATAAACTAGTATCTTCTTATTACTAGATATCTTATAACCCATAGATTATAAGATCTTTATCATAAATGATTTGCGACCCCTTCACGTACAGGTAAGATCTTTACCCGTACAGGATCTTTAATCACTCATGCTAGTCTGTCCTAGACTGTGTGCATGGACTTTCAAACTAATACTTTTTCTTAATAAAAGTTATCAACAAGTCAACGTGATAAAGGGTGAGATTTTTCAACTCAGCGTCTTGAGGAACCGTTAGTTGCTGTGCTGCAACGAGAGGCCCAAATTGGTGAATGCCTGAGAAGTCTTCAGTGGCTATGTCTCGGGAGGTAATGGTTGGCAAACACCGTATCCGACTTCCAAAAGCAACCCTCCATAATTGCTGATATAGAGCAATATCCGTGCAGAGCCAATGTTGACGCCAGTGCTCTGACTTCATGTGGGTTGGAAGCTCTTGGAGGTTCTAGTCAAGCTGCTTTGTAGGCTCTCAATATGACGGCTCTCATCCAGAACGATATCGTCGTTCTTGAGACTTCTACTGATGTTTCTGTGGATAATGGGATGAACAGGCGCTTGAATTTTCGTCTCCTTGTCTTGTATATCTTCAGGGCTCTGACCGGACACAAGGATGGGTCCTCTATATCCTCTGGTCCGAGGATTGTAGATAGTGCTGGTACGTGGAACTGTCTATCTGGCTGACCAGGTAGTTGGTTCTTGGCAATGAAGTCCCATCTAAGTCCTAGATGAACTGCAGCATGTTGCCCCGTGTCGAATCTGGTTCGACCAAAGTCCAGCGTATGTATCTCTGATATCCGAACTGCTGTGGCTAGCGCAAGCAGGAACAGAGTCTTCTGTGTCAGCAGCTTGAAGGTAGTCTGATCTAGAGGTTTGTAGGCATCACTTGTAAGATGACGTAGAATTACATTCAGATCCCAGGCCGGAGCTCTGAACTTCTTTTGCTGGTCCTACGGTTTAAAAGATCTCAGCAGAGCAAGTAATTCTGGTACTTTCGTCAACTTGATGCCTGTTTTCATGGTAATCACTGTACTGATGGCAGCAAGGTATGTAGATAATGTCGAACCCTTCAGATGTCTAGTCTGTCTAAGATGACACAGGTATGCCGCCACTTGAGGATGAGTAGCTTTCATAACAATGAAGCCTTTCCGCCTTGTATAAGTCTCAAACTTCAGCCTCTTGTCATCATACAGGTTATGAGTAGATCTGCGTAACGCTATCGTTACTGCCTTGGCTGCCCTGGCGGAGTATCCTCTTTTCTTCAAACTTGTTTTGATACGGTCCACACGTGTGTAGCTGGAACAGTGTTGGGTTCCTGTGGATTTGCTTGGTGTGCGGATGTATGAGTAGGTTCGGCCAAGCTGGTAACTTGATTGTTGGACTTCCGAGATTTTCTATAAGGTCTAGGAACCATACTCTCGCTGGCCAGTATGGCGCGACCAAATTCAGTTGTAGCGCCTGCGTCTGTTTGATCTTCAACAGTACTTTCGGTAGTAATATCAGTGGTGGAAACGCATAAGCGTTTAGTCCTTCCCATGATATGTTCAGTGCATCTGATGCCCAGGCTTGAGGATCTGGAACTGGTGAGACAAATGTCTGTAGTTGTTTGTTGAACCTCATGGCAAACAGGTCTATGCATGGGGATCCTATTTCCCTTATGATGAGCTGAAATGCTTCTGGATGGAGCATCCATTCCGTAGGTGACGGGTGCAGTGGTCGGGAGAAAGCGTCTGCAAGCATGTTCTTGGCTCCCGGGTATGTGACACACCTTTATCCAGATGTTTACCTCCTCCGTGATGTCAAACAACTGGAATGTGAGCTGTAGTCGGCTTGGAGATCTTGTAGATCCTTGCCGATTTATGGAGAATGCCACTGTAGAGTTGTCCGTGTGGATCATCAGCATTCTGTTGATCAGCGAACTCGACCATAGTTGTAAGGCATTGATCACAGCTTTCATCTCCAGCAGATTGATGTGAAGATGCTAGTCTGTTTTGAACCACTTCCTTGATGCAACTTGATTGTTGAGATGTGCACCCCAACCTTGTATCGATGCGTCTACGTAGAGATGTGTGTCGAAGGCTGGCTCTTGTAAATAGGTCCCTCATCAGACGTTCGACCTGTGGGTCCACCAAAGTAGGTACCTCTTAAGATTGTCCGGCAGCAAGATAGGGTCGACGCTGTCCAAATGTTTTGTCAGGAACCGTTGCAGCGGCCTTAGTTGTTACCTTCCTGTGCGAGTCAAGTCCTGCGCCGAGGTTAGTAGACCGAGTAGACATTGCCATAACGGAGAGATGACTGCTTGTGGAATCATGGCTTGTATCTTGACCCAAAGATCTTCTGGGACCACAATTCGATTCTGTGTTGTGATCATTCTTATTCCCAGCAATTGAAGATCTTGTTTGATTCTAACTCCAACTTCATCAGGTTCACTAGCCATCCTAGTTGCGTGATCAACTTAATTGTGAAGTTCAGCTGCTGTCTGAGTTGATTGGCACTTTGAAAAACCTGTATGCCGTCGTCCAGATAACCAGCACTGCGTAGACCTCGATGCTGCAGATAGGTGCCGATAGGCTTGGTCATTTGTATGAATAATCATAGAGCCGACGATATTCCAAACGGTAGGACGTTCCATTGGAAGTGCTAACCTCTGATTGCAGTGATGATATATCATTCTTCACCCTTATATACGCAGGCGATCTGTGTTGATCAGCATACATCAAAGTTGTCTATTTATAGCAAGGCTGGCTCCAATGTAGCATCGCAGGGAACAGGTACTCATACCGACATTTATCAGCGACAGCTTCCAAAATAAACATCGTTTATGCTGCTGTGAAGGCTAGACATCTATTAGATTCCCATGATGATAACAGGCCATAGTTGTATACTGTTTCCAAGGCTGCCGATGAAGTATTCCCCAGTACCACGGGTTTGTTTACAAGTCAGTAAACTTGCTTGTGCCTGCTCTGTCAGTGGGATGCGTTGTCTGACGTGGTCCAATCAGCTTCAAGCAGGACATCACCGGTGTTGTAGCAAGTTGGCCTCCATAAAATCTGGTGCAATTAGTTGGTTGAGTAAAAGCGCACGTAATTCTACGCCGCTCATATAAACCTCTTGAATAAGGGTTGCTCCAAGTGTAAAATCTTGTTCAGTGATATAAATCACATATTCCCATTGTGGATAATATAAACCAGCATGACAAAGAAGGCTGTCGAGACGTATGTCTGTATGGATCTTGAAGAAATACCGATGTTGAATCTAGTTGATAGGATATAAAATCCTAATCCCCACGCTGAGTGACGAGTGTTAATAATAACATCTGTACGTCCGTTTAAGGATTCTTGAAGGCGTTATTAACCTTAAGCCCTTTACAAAGGTCGCCTTGAGGTTCTCCAGTACTTGAGATATCGGCTTCATAGGTGATATCATATTGGAGTCGAAGTCATCAGCATATATGCGGTACGTCTCTGTTGGGTTGGAGTGAGTGAGTGAACTACAATATCCGCAGGCCATCTGCTACCCGGTATTAGACCTCAGCATCCGAATAGATGAAGGGATTCCTTTCATCAAGTAGGTTGTCGTCCGAAACTGAACCTATACAGGTATAAGGTTTGTGCAGGTTGTAGAGTTGTGCAGGCTCTAAACTGTAGAGATCACACATGTTGTAGATCTTTTGTTGAGTTGACGTCAACATCCTGCCTGATGATGTAAGGGTTTGTTAACCCTAGGGTTCGCGAACCCTGTAGATGTCTGCGTTGCTGTTATCTGCCTGTACCTCAAACCTTGTAGATGTCTGCAGCTTTCTCAAAGCTGTGCGTAGGTTAGAAGGTACCTTGGATATAGGTTCAATCGGAGGAATAATCACCGAGTCAAAGTTGTCATTACGCATCTTATAAGTATAGACTTCATCTATATCCTTAGAAGGAGACTCCAAGTTCAAACCATTGGCTATCCAAGCTGTAACCTCTGAGTCCGGGAAGATGAAGTCTGGTTATTCATCAGTTATCTCCTGATCGGTAGAGCTATGCCTCTGAGAATCATCCTTCTGCGAACCTGTATCCCTTCTCAAACCTCCATCGTCCTTTCGCGAACTGAAGATTCCACCCTTCGCGAACGTCTATCTTGAGAGTCCTCTCTTCGCGACCCTCTATCTGTGGATTCATCTCTTCGCGAACCTCTGTGACGTGAGCCTACTCTTCAAGAACCTCTGTCGCTAGATGTATCCCTTCGCGAACGTCTGTGATGTGAGCCTTCTCTTCGCGAACGTCTGTGATGTGAGCCTTCTCTTCGCGAACCTCTGTCTCATGATGAGTGTCTTCGCGAATGTCTGTGAGAGATATGAGATCTCAATCTAGAACGGCTAGGTGTAGGAGATGGATCCTTCGATGTTCTCGAACGTTGAGGGTTTGCAGATGTAGAATGGTGAGTAGGCATCTCATGTCTTCTATCCTCCTCCAAGATGACAGAGTCGTCAGACTGTGGAGACCTTCGCAAAGGTGTACGTTCGCCAACGTAGTCTTGAGAGGTAGTTCTATGAGGAGTAGGTTCACGCAGGTCCGTAGGTTTGCACATGATGTCAGTAGATGAGAGGCTTCGCCGAGCCTTCGCTTCTTCCTCAAACCTACGTTCCATCATGGCCATCATCTGGTGGGTGAATTGTCTCATAATTTCACCTGGATCAAGTTCTGCGTTGATTGAAGCTGCTGCGGTGTAGAAGAAGCGTTCGCGAACGCTGATGAGTTGTGTGCCTCGACTTCACTCCGTTGAGAAGTTGGTGGTAGTTCGTCAAACAGCTGGCCTGCTGTGACCGTTGCAGGAGACGATCAAGTAGTCGTGGAAGTCGATTGAGTCGCCGATCTGGTAGGTACTTCGGGTAGAAGTAATGGGGGATCATCAAAAAACGTCTACTTCATGCAGAGGTAATATCTCTTCACTGAAGGATTTCTGATGCGTTGACTTACTAGGCCGCGTAGATTTACCCTCGGATCTGGTAACAGATGTGATGTAGAAGAAGATGACGTCGCCTTTTTCTTAGCTTGAGTCAGAGTCAACTGCGTTGTAGCCGATCTCTTCTTGGCCCCCATACCAGCAGACTGCCCCTGCAACGTACTCAACATAGCACCGGTATTATGAATTTCAGCAGTAGCAAGCAACATACGGTTTGCAGGCTGATCTCCAGTTTTATCAGCCGTGACTTGAGATGACTTCCTCACCCGATTGGGGGGTGAGGATCAGCCACGGACAACCTGTGCCTGCAAACATTTCATGAAATGTAAACAAAGTTACATAACGATGAAATTATGACACAAATACAAATAATTTTTACAATTTTTTTACATATAATACAAAGTAGTTATTGCCAAATCCATACACAGCTTAATTTTGAAGAATAGGACCTAAATAAAAAGGATATAATGCCGTATACGGGACTCCAGTGCTCACCCAACCACCCACTTGGGCGAAAAGGGAGAGAGTGACAAGTAAGGCTGGTCACATGACTGTTTACGCAGGAAAAGGGAGGTAACTCGTGGGTGAGTGTATTTTTACGTCCGCTTCGGGAACTTCAAGGGATTCAAATGTTCCACTACCATTCGCAAGGAAAAGGGAGATAAGCAACAGATCATGAGTCAGGATAAGAAAGAATTCAACATATCAAACTATGTTAGTGATCAAAACATTAGGAGGTTCCAGCACCTGAAAACATCTGATGGATGTATGGTTGGGGAATACACTTTCCCGGTAATTCCCATTCTTTTTAGCATGTTCAGTAACTCAAGTGTTTACCATACATGATCACACCTGATTTGTGGTCAAACTGCATCTCTTTCAAATGAAACAAGAATAACAAACAGCATTCAAATCACAACATATGTTATTGTCCTTGTATCTGTACCCACCTTAAGCCATGAGTTGTATCTCATCTTAAGAGTCTTCAGACCCGACATGTGTTTGCGCAGGATGGACAGCTCCTCTCTTGTGTTGGTCAGTCGGTTCCAGCTGATGTCCAGATGCTTCAGCCGTGTCAGACCCTAGCAGAACAAAATCTAGCATCAGTCCAATGAACTTTATCAAGGTAAATAGATATGAATGCTCACAGTCACAGGAAAGAAATCAGTCCAAGGATCCTGTTCATTCAGCCATGTTGCAGCAAAGACTAAGTCCTCCATCTAAACACCTAGTTTACTTCAATGTTTTAAGTTCACTGTAACAATAACAGAATACCACAGCAGATACATCTCCACTACGCCATGTGTGTTATAAGAACTGACCACAATTGTGGACATTTTACATACAAAGGGTTAATAATATTGTTGGATGCAGCTGATGATGGGAGTATGTAATGAAAACATCAGGGATATGTGGCCAGTTTTCACTACTCACCTTCATACCCTCAAGTGTTATGATCTTGTTGAAGCTGGCATCCAAGTATTCCAGTGACTGTAAACAAATGGTGAACTTTTATAATACAGCATCTTCAAGTGGTTATAACGTAAAACTTGGCTATTGGGGATTATTACTTAAAATGTAGCTACAAGTGATTATTTCTTGCTGAGCTACAGGTGGTAATTACCATTGTTAGTCTAACTTTGTCACTGCTCTGAAACTTCTTCATGATATTGAAGAGGTGTATTTCAGGACAAACTCTAGTTGATGTCTTATACAACAGGAAATGTGGTAAGAGCCAGGTATTTTTACATGGGTGTTCAATGTTTAACTGTCAGATCCAGATTTAAATGTAGCTCAAAAGGTGTTTGGATATAGGTTATTCATGAACATCTTGCCTCGTAATATTTATGAACAACCTTTCTGAACTGATATATTTAGCAATTCATGGGGACACTTTCTAGTCAAACAGACTGTAGTTGACAAGAACATATAAAGATTTTAACGTCCTTATTATTTCAATGCGATGCTACTTGCTTGATAAAGGTATAAGCAGCTGTACCAAAACACTTGATTAAAAGAACAAAGAAGCTGAACTCTGTAACTCAACCCATTCCTTCAAACCTCTGCCCTTTCACGGTACCCCTTTCACGTACCATGTGAGCTAGGTCCTCTAGTCTCGTGAGCTCATTAAAAGGGACAATGAGCTTCCTGAGTGCTGATAGAGACTGCAGGTGCTTGAGTTTAGTCAGCCCATTTCCATGTAGGTTTAGCACTGTGATATTGGCCAGAGTATCACACTTTGATATTTTCAGCAAGAGTTCATCATTTAGTGTGACTAGCCTGCAAAAGGGAGTAATAATGATTTCACTAAGTTTTTACCAATATTCTAGCAATTTGCGGTAAACAAGAAATGAGTTTCACATATTGTAGCCATGTAGGGAATCTAACCTAGGATATCAGAGTAACAAACACTGCAACTGCTAGGCTACTCCACATCTTCTGTTTTGCACAGAACATTTCCTTCATAACGATAAAGTGGTATGAATAAATATAATATGCAATGGTCATCATTATGACATTAGGCAAGCAGAGGAAGACACAAAGAACAATTAATGAGCAGGTACTCCCATGTTGTAACACATTCTAGTTCTATGCATTACCTTAACCTTAAGTAACTGTGGCTATCTGATCCTCACCTTAGTTATAATGTTAACACATGAAACTGAAGGCATATGAAAACATTAAAACATTTTTAAACAAGATGGATAGGACAAAGGTTTAACAATATAGTATTTGCAGGAAATGAAGAAGTACCTTGGTCTCTGTTTGATTGTGGGCTCCATGTTGAAGATTTCCTTATCATCTTCTGGGTGGATGTCCTCCCTTCCCCCAATGTTTGCCAGTTTGACTGGCTTGTTCTCCAGCAGTTCATCACTCAGACCAGCAAATGGGGACTTGCATTTACTCTACAACACACAAAATAAAGTAGTCACTCATTCCTTTTGTCACAGTTTTAGATTTCAGTGTACATTGGTGATTGACATGGTCAGCACAAATATGTAATTTTCTGACTAAAATTGATATTTTGTACTTATCCTGACTCATGCTAAATGCTTGTCTCCTTCTTCTTGCGAATGATAGTGGAACACTTGAAATCCCTTGAAGTTACCTTCTAAAAAGCGGAGGTAAAATCATCACTCACCCACGAGTGGCCTCCCTTGCCTCCTTGGACTGACGTGAGGAGACCTAATAGGCTCTGCCATTCTCGTAGTGGTAACGGAGAGAGTTGAACTTGAGAGATCATTTGTTGAATCTTGACCCAACGATCCTCTGGTACGACTATGCGATTCACCGGTGTGATGAGTCGTATTCCTAGAAATTGAAGATCCTGTTTCGGCTCCAGTTCCGACTTGAGGAGATTTACCAACCATCCTGAGTGAGAAGCCTGATAGTGAAGTCTAGTTGCATTCTGAGTTGACTGGGATCTTGATGAACTTGAATTCTGTCGTCCAGGTAAAAAGCACTTCGTAGACCTCGACGATGTAGATATGTGACAATGGGCATGGTCACTCAAGTAAACAACCAGTGGTCCGACGATATTCCAAACAGTAGAACCTTCCACTGGAAGTGATGTCCGTTGAAAAGGAATCTTAGGTATTTCCTTGAGTGGATGTATTGGGATGTGTAGGCACGCATCTTGTAGATCTATGCTGGCGAGGTATTTTGATGGACGAACGAGATATCGGAGCTGAGGAACATGTATCATCTTGAATTTTGCTGGTCTGCGGAGACACTCCTGGTTGAACTTCCTCATGTTGTAGATGAGCCGAAACTTCTCCTTGGAATTCTCCTTCGGTAATTCTCTTCTACTGCATCTTTGTCGAGTAGAATGTTGATTGCGTCGTCCAGTTTCTCTGTCTGGTCAGCTGCATAGTTGAAGGCCAGCGGGCTGCTTGTAAGCGGCGGTGTGGATTCCAACTGTATCTTGTACCCTCTGCGTAGTATCTGGGATACGTAGTCGTCCTGTAGTATTCCCCAATTCTCCGAGAACCGTTGAAGACGTCAACCCACTGTCGAAGGTTGTACAGGAACGTCTTGGGGTGGAAGACTCCAGTCGTTCCAAACCTGTCCTTCAGCGCTTGGTTCCCCTGGCACCCCCGGGTGCTCGGCCTCTTCCGGGGTTACTTCTGGGGGCTCCGGGTGGTCGACGAAAAGAACCTCTTCCTCCTCTTGAGCTGGAATACTTCTTTTCTCTGGCTCTCTGGATTCCTGCAAACTTGGATTTGTTAGAGTAGCGCTGGGACGTCTGGCGAATCACATTTGCCAAGGTATATATGGACTTTATCATCATGACCTCCCTTGATTCGTGTGTAACCTCTTTGGCGACTTCTTCAATTACTCCTCCGAAGATGGATGCTGCTGACCATGGGTCTCTGTATAAGGACTTGGTGAACTGCTCACTCCAGGTGCACGATGACAATAATCCTTGTCTCCTCAGGAGAGTCAGGCCCGCTGATGTGGATGCTAGATGCTCCGACATAAACTGGTGGTCCTTTTTCTGAGTCAGTAGCGCAGAATATATCATCCGGTCGTCTTTGGCGGTGGAGTTCTTGAACTTCAAGATGAGTGCTTCGTTGATAGCCCTAGACCTAGCTACTCCGAAGAAGGTACGTCTAGTAGTCATATCCAGTTGCGCAAGCTTCTTGTCTTCAATCTTGTAAGTTCTATAGCGGGAGCCGTTGATGATCTTGTAGTCCTCATCAATCTCTGGTGCCTTCAGGAAGGGTTCCATGTGATGTAAGGGGAATTTCCTGGCATTTCTGATTCTGGAACTTGGTAGCCTTATCAAAGGCTGAGCTGAGACTGTCCAGTTCTTGGGAGATCAGCTCGGCAGAAAAGTGAGTGTGTCGAAATCATCGTTGGACATCTTGTATGTAAACGCTTCGTCTATGTCCTTGGAATGGGATGCTAGGTCCAGGCTATTAGCAATCCATGAGGTTACTTCCATATCAGAGAATATGACTTCACCTTCTTCCTCTGATTTAGACATCTCCCGCTCTGACAATCCAGGACGACGTGAGTCTCTGTGTGAAGATCTGTATGACGAACTGCGCGCAGGTGAACAATCCCGATGTGATCATGTATCCTTCCTGGAGTCTTGAGATCTCTCTCTAGGCATTCGTGAAGGTTGATTCTTAGGCGTAGTCTCCCCTCTGTAAGATGTGGAGTGCCTGCGTGCAGGTTCCTGATGTGCGTCTGAGTCCAATGGTGATGATGACCCGTATCTACGATGTCTGTAGGGTTCGTGAGAACGCTTCGATCTGCTTCTGCGTGGAGAATTCTTAGCGGCTCCTTCAGGGACGTCTAAGGCTGATCTGACGTTAATAGCGTTGTCCAGGCTCCTAACTTCAGATGGGGAAGATCATCAGGTGCGTGAGCCTTCACGCAGGCTTCCCTCTTCTTCCAAGTGCGTTGGAGAGACTGCTGAATCTTCACACAGGCTAGTAGTCATCGTAGTGGTCTTCGTAGCAGCTTTCTCCTGCGCGAAGCGACGCTCCATCATCGACATCATCTGGTCTGTAAACTGTTGCATAAACAGCCCCGGGTTGAAGTTCTGCGATGTCCGAAGAGACTGCTGCAGGGTTTATGATGCTTCTGACAACTATGAGGCGTCTTCTAAGGCACGCTGCACTTGTGAAGAGTTGACGCTGGTATCTCTGGTACCCGATGCCTGCATTGATAGAAGGTTTTCGTCTTCTTCTTCTTGATGACGACTGTGACTTCAGGTATGAGGATGGGGGGATCATCATACACGTCTACTTCTTCCGGAGGTACAATCTCGGCAGAGAAGGATCTCGTCTTCTGCGTAGAGCTGTGTAGAGACTTCGATGAAGTCTTAGGGGTAGTAGCCTTCTTCTTCTGCGTTGAAGACGATCTAGTCTTCGCCTGCAAAGAGGTCAGCTCCATTGACGACAATCTCTTATTGGCTCCAGAGTTCATCACTGGAACAGCGATCTGCCCCCTTAAAATGCTCGGCAATTCACTGGAATTATGAACATCGGCAGCAGTAGTTAACACACGGTTATCAGCGCAATCACTCGATTTAGACATGACTTGTGAATACCTTCTTACCCAGTCCTTTGCACGTCTATGAATGGAAAAGAGGTAGTTATTAAATTCAAAAGTGGTTTAATTTATACAAACCTGTAGAGGTTATGAATTCTTTGAAGAAAGTCCTCCTTGGGGTACTTATAAGCATTAAAATGTCCATTTTAAAAACCTACAACAGTTGTAACTATATTTCAATAAAAATATTTACAAAACGAAAAACACGCTCTGCGCTATGAGACCACTTCTACAAAGGGCCCGCGGCCCCTACCGCAAGAGCAGGTAACTTCTAGCCGACAACCTCAAGACCTCACTTTTCATGCTGAACGGATCAGACAGAATGAGGGGAGGCGGGTGAGCCGTACTCTGCGGAGGACTTTCTTCAAAGAATTCATAACCTCTACAGGTTTGTATAATTCTTTTTCAGAAGAAGTCCTCCTTGGGGTACTTATAAGCATAAAACAGACTCCCAAAGATCAGAAAACCGGGAGTGGCATTCTGTCTGACACACTGGTCCGAACGCAGTAACTTACAGTCAAGGCAATGATCCCTCCGGGGGTAGAACCCGTCCCCGGACCGAAGCCCGAGGCAGGGGAACCCCCGACAGACAACCCCGGAGCGCCGCTAACTCCCGAACGGAAGCCGATCTCCTCACAGAAACCCGACATCGCGTTCGAGATCAGCGAGCGAACCGAAGTCATCTGTTGCTGCTATATAGAAGTTAAATCATTAATACGGAGGGGTGCAGAATCTGATTGAGTGGAAGTGGAGGGGATAGGGGAAGAAGGTTTATCCGCCGTCTTGGCCCGCTTACCCCCACCCCCGGTAGTAGAAGAAGAACTCTTCTTACTTTTAGCCACTTTAGATGGTGGGTCCTGAGCCCATAAGTCCCCCGCCTGCAGCAAATTTGTATAAAACAAAAAATCGGCGGACCGACGCTTAGTCGTCTTGGGTGAGAAAAGCAGGCAACTCTCACAAGTTAGATCATCATGGTGATCAACGGCCAAACAACGGAGGCACACATCGTGAGTATCCTGTGGTGGCAACATGGCCGCACATGCAACGCACAGGTGAAACTGTAACAAACAGAACCATTTTAATGGAAACTGATGTACAGTCTAAAATACACACATATATGCAACACAAGTAAAACATAATACGCACGGGCGATAAACCCTATGTGAAAAGCTAAGGCAGTTTTAACCCTTTAACATGTATCATGAACAAGAGGCGAAAATGCAAGCTTCCTGCGTAACATATACAGCATAAAAAAAATATGAAAAAACTTACCGAACTCACCTTACATTGCTGAAAGTGAAAACGTTAGGCAAGCCTACAATAGTAATGTACAAGAAAATACCCTACCACCCTAGCGATGTAACTCAAAAAAGTTACAACCGTAGGACAGAAGGAAGCCAAACCGACCGCCATCTTGCCTGCCACCTGGCTGGAAAATGGAGCCTGTCCGACTAAGTTACAACAATCATGAATGAAAAAATCAACCTACAATTCCATCTAGCGCCCGTGCGAGAAAAGAGGAACCATACATACATTAGTTGATTCTTTAGCACTAATTTTCATCAATGAACGACACGCACGTCTCTCTTGTAAGACGACAGCATGAAGAGTGAGGTGCGAGGTTGTCGGCTAGAGTTACCTGCTCTTGCCGGTAGGGGGTCCCGCGGGGGCCCTGTAGGGGTGGTCTCATAACGCAGAACGTGTTTTTTCGTTTTGTAAATATTTTTATTGAAATATAGTTACAACTGTCGTAGGTTTTTAAAATGGACATTTTAATGCTTATAAGTACCCCAAGGAGGACTTCTTCTGAAAAAGAATCAGACAATGTCCACAACGAGAGCTGAAAGAACATGAAGTAGTGCAATCAGGACATAATAAATGTGGGTCAGCCGCAGACAATCGGTACCTACAACGAATACAAGTTTTCACCAAATGTAAACACGATGAAAAAATATGTCAAACAACGTATAATTCAGATCAAATTTCAAACCAGATAGTAGAATACAATCCTAAAGCCGTATACAGCAATAATTTTGATGTAAAGGTCCAAAATAGAAAAGGATATGTGCCATATAGGGACCCAGGTGCTCTCACAACCTTCCTCGAGGGCGAAGAAGGAGAGAGTGACAAAACATGGCTGGTCATGTGACCAAAAGGGCGCCAAGGAGGCAAGGGAGGCCACTCGTGGGTGAGTGATGATTTTACGTCTGCTTTTTAGAAGGGAACTTCAAGGGATTTCAAGTGTTCCACTATCATTCACAAGAAGAAGGAGACAAGCATTTAGCATGAGTCAGGATAAGGAAAAATATAACCAGTAACAAAGGAAGATTGGACCTGACAAATCAATGAATGATGGTGCAATCAGTGATCCAAGCCAACAGGGTACAATGGCACACTATCATACAAGTCACATTGTAACACCTCAATCTTCACTTGAATGAGAATGAATGAATGAATGAATGAATGAATGAATGAATGAATGAATGAATGAATGAATGAATGAATGAATGAATGACAAGAGATAATACTAGCTAAGGTGAGCTAAAAATAATTTTCCTTACCCGTGTGATGTACTCAAACTCTATGATGTATTCAGGAAGAACGAGTTCATGATCGAAGATGTACCACTCACACTGCCGGGCACTGCACTCACATGAACTGTTCTCACCATCTTTCTCTGAAATATCATCAGTAGAAGAAATACAAACTGTTTCCAAGTATTTCTAAGTCTCAGTAACAACTGAAATATAACATCAAATATTTGACACATTTTTCATCATAATGTACTCACTTTCATTTGGAATAACTTTCCTTCTTGGTTTGAATATTGCATCTATCTTGTGATATACCGATTTTGATATTCTGAAAAAAACAATGGAAAAAGTAAAAAGACCAGGCTATTCACACAGATACTGTAACACAATACTAAGTGGTATGTGTGACTGTTTAGGTAAATAAATCAGCCTCAAAATAATACTGTAGCACTTAGAGATAAACCAAGAACTCATCACTGAGAACCTTGAAACTCCTTTACAACATAGACAGTGGATTTATTGTAAAGAGATAACTAGTTACTCAAACATCTGGAGATAACTGAATTTGTTCTGGAAGAATATCCAGTTACTCAAACTTAATGCAGGGCACTTACGATCTGTCATCCATGGCAGACATACTTTTCCCCAGGTAAACTTTGGCTACCACAAGTTGACCTGGAAAACATCAGTATGAAATCAAAAGTTGTGGCCCAGAAAACCAGAGGCAAAACAAATAGGAACGTCCTAATGACACAGAATGAGCAAAGTCACAGAATCTGATTCAACAAGCATTGTCACTAAGGTGACATAATCCCCCGGCACAAATTATCAAATCAACTTAAAAAGTAATGAAAGCTTAAGATGAAGTTAAATGTCAACAAAAACATGACCAGTTAACATCTCTTGACATCTTGCTCTTTAGTTGTTCAAACACACAAATATTTTCAAGACTGACTTTGACCGTGACATGAGTGTCATAGTGTATGAAATTTGCAAAAAAGGTACTAAAGAAATTGCTTATTGAAAAACATTCAAGGGAAGTCTTGAAAGTGTATGAAGAAAATCCAGTGAATTCAGGTTAACATGCTGAAATCTTCAAAGTGTCGCAGTGACCTTGAAAATTATGTGAAGGTCACTAAAATTGACTGGGCCCTGTGCCTTCATTAGATGAAGCTTGGTGTCAAATATGGAAAAAACTCCAGTGAATGTTTTTTGTGATATCTTGCTGACTATCTTAATATGCAATTTAACATGGTGCAAGTGTTTTCAAAGTATCTTTGTGACCTTGAAAATTAAGTGAAGGTCACCAAAATTGACTGGGCCTTGCACTTTCTCTAGATGAAGCTTGGTGTCAAATATGAAGAAGGTCCAGTGAATGGTTTTTTAAATATCTCGCTGACAAGCATAACATGCAGGTTAATATGCTGAAATCTTCAAAGTGTTGCCATGACCTTGAAAATTAAGTGAAGGTCACCAAAATCAACTGGGCCCTGCGCCTTCCCTAGATAAAGCTTGGTGTTGAATATGAGGGTTCTTGAGATATCTTGCTGACAAGGGTAAAACGTTAAAGTCCCCTTGTGACCTTGAAATGAAGGTCAAGGTCACCAAACCTGACAGGGACCTTTTCTTATCCCACTCTAGTCAATGGTTCTTAAGATATTCCAATTCGTACGGATGGACGGACGAACGGACAGACGGAGCTAAACGCGGGGCGGGGGATAATAATCTAATATGAACCAGTTTACCAACGTTGGGATATGTCCTGTCTTACCATATCTATAGGGGCAGGAGTCAGCAACATCCTTGTCTTTAGACTGTTTCATCAGATAGTTGATGCGCCTGCGGTCAGCCAGGCTTAAACTGTTACTTAAGGGGACAGCACCATCTCTACCAAGTTTCTAAAACAAAATATGGAATGACACAAACAATTTGAACAATGCCTCACTTTGCTCTTTCCTCTCACATATAACTAGCATGCCTTGATATAAGTGAATATACTTTCAAAGCAGCACCAAACTTACTCTCTCATGCATATATTCATATTCTCATATTGCACATGGGTAAGATTTACGATCAGACAAAAATGATCTACCTCTGTCCAAAACAGATGAAGCAATGGAATCATTAACTTAAAGCCAAACAAAATCTGCCAGTTAATGAGAATATGAATGTTTTGTAAAATTGAAACATATAACTATCTCTAACATAACTCAAGAAACAACCAGAAATAGAAGCTAACCTGGTACATGTCTGCATCAGGGAATCCGTCCTCCAGGACACGAGCCATTTCAGTAGATCCTCCTGCTATCTCAGGGTCCCACATCCAGAACAAATACTCCAGCAACTTTTTGTGTGTAGGGTTCCTGAAACAGTATGCACAATTCCAAAATATGCTACCATGGCCTGGAAAATTGGGGGGAATTTTTTTTATCTAAATATGGCATTGAGCAAGTGTTTATAATTTCAGAGACATTTCAACACAGGATTCAATAAACATTTAGCATTTAAACTCTGACCTGGACCTGTTATCAGTGTTATGACTTTATTAGAATGAATTTGGAACTTTATTAACTTCCAATCATGGAATGTTAGGTGACATGTGCTGCAGATCTTTGGCTGGATATCATCCTCTTGGGAGAAAAGATAATTCCCTACAGGCGACCCATATAACATGCTGACATAAAACTTCTGGCATTCATGTACTCAATGTGGGAGGAGAACTTATCAGGCGAAGCAATCCAAATTGATAAAATATAAAAATGAAAATTCTCTTCCATGTTTATAAAAGTGTGCACAACACTGAACTTACTTGCTGAGAGGGTAGAATTCATTATCCTTCTCGTCAGTCAAGTTTGCCAGTTTTTCATCAAATCTTGATCGCAGTATCCGATTGTGGACACGAATGATGCGATGCAGTTTGATACCCATAATGCCCTGCTCTCTGTAGTCAGCTGCACAAAACCTTGACAGCACCAGATCATGGCAGGAACTAAACCTGTAATTCAATTAGCAGAACTTTCTTATTTTCAATGTACGTACATATTTACTGAAATTCATGGTAGCTCTTTTCAGCTCCTGAAGAATTATTTAGATCTTCTTTTTTCCTTCAATGTTTGTTTTATTCACTATGTGAACCCAAAAGTTAACATATACATTAACAGCAAAGTAAGTCAAGAATGAATTTATTTGAGCAATCTTCATTGGAAGATACAATATTTGACAGAATATTGTTTGAACCATTCCTAAGTCCAGGTCAAGGGATAGTTCAATGACCTTGACCTGCATGCACAGGAGGTGCTGCAGACAGGTTTATCCTTTGGACCTTACTTATTATAAGATAAAAGAAATATGAGTGATAATAGTCCTATATAGTTTAAAATATACGTATATCAACTTACCAAATGTCAGCAGATGACCCTTCCTCAAACCGAACATTTCCCCCTGTTTCCAATTCTATCATGAATCGGCTGATCAATGTATCCGACATCCTTTGAAGGCGACTCTCAGCCTCTTCACAGTAACCCTCAATCCTGAATACATCAAGCTCAAGTTTAGCAAGAAAAGTAGAATGATAGGTACAAGTGTAGCTTATGGTCAATCTCAATCTCATCAATAGTTAGATTGTTCTACAGCTCCAATAAGCCATAATTAATAGAGGGTTATAAGTTGCAAGAACATTCGTTGCATGAGGTTCAGTCAGGTGTTTAGACTGATTACCTTGGTAGAGTAAGAACAAGGCTACTTACTCTTCGCACTTCCTCTCCAGCTTCCTGAGTCTTCTCTTCAGAGCATCATACTTCTCCATGATAGGCTTCCGATGTTTGCTGTGATCCACTACTTTCTTCGTTGAACACATAAGTATTTCATTTACTTTGCACCTTTGCAGACAATCTAAACGTTGTATGAGAAAATATGTCAGTCAGAAGACATAAATCAGTTCCCTGAGCAGCTTCTCACTGTTGATTCATTGAACTCATAATGTTGATACATGCCATCATGGGGCATTGCTAACTTAACAAAGCAACTATTTCCTTCATTCTTATTGGCACAAAAAATCAAACTATTTTATTACAAAAGAATGACATAGCTGAATTTCTCTGCACTGTCGTTGAGGACGGTAGTCAGTAGTCCATATATAACATGAAAGACAAGGAGTTACAACATTTTTACAAATCTGAGGTCATACAGTGATATTTTTGGGGTTGCTAGGTGTTACACAATAAACATAAACCTATTGACTGGACTTATTCATACTCCAGTCCCTGAACCATAGTATTTTCCCTTCTGTAATGCAAAAACCCTAAACGAAGCAAGTCCCCCAGGTTCTGAATCTCCCATCTCACTTGGGCGTCTGTTCAGTGTAAAAAAATAGTTGCTTTTTTTGTATCAGCATTTTATATACAATCACAGACTAAGTGTTAGTCTAACAGGACCACAAAGCAATCTGTCATCTAAGAAAATCAACAGTCTGGCCTGTATGTTGGTACCTTGGATTCCTTTGCATCCTTTTCACTCTCAGTGTCGCTGATGCACATGTTGAGGTCCTCCCCTGACTGCTGCAGTTCCTGCACCTCCCGCTCCAGCTGCACATACAACACAACATTAGAAACGCATCATTTGACATGGCCAGCAGCTTTACGAGAGAAGGAGTTGGGATTTACACTGCATTGAATCATATTTCACAGTTTAAGTAATACAGTATAAGTGAACATAGTTGTACCACAGCAAGGCCAAAGCTGTGATTCAAACCCATGAGCAACAAATTTGCTGAGGGATGCAACCATGTCACATCATCTACTGGTACATATTATCATGGGCTCATTAAAAAAACATCAACATAACAGGTGTATTCTTCCCCTTGAATTCAGAACATGAGCAGGGGATGTCTCAGCAAGTGGTGCTTCTCCTCAAGAAACAACTGGGGCTCCAATTGGGACAGCAGGACGAAGCAGAAAAAGGCAGCCCAGTGAATCACCTGGGTGACAGGCTATGAACAACTACTAAGCCTAGATATAAAAGAGATGTCAGGTAACACAGCAGAAGGAACACCTATGCAGAAGGAATACACATTGCAGAAGAGGTGCCACACCCGGAACATGACCAAGACCACCAATAGAGGCACATACACCTCTGTTTTAAGAAAAGGTTGACATGCCAGACATACAGTGGAAGCTGTCAAAACCGGCAGCTGTCCAATTCAGCAAGTTGTCAACACCGGCATAAAATCTCAGTCACTTCCGTGGCTAGTACATTTATCATCATTTAAAAGCTCTGCAATCCGGCAGCTGTCAATTCCAGATCTCGACATGAAATAAGCTAACCTATTATGTGTCTATACAGTCATCAGCGTTGTCTAATCACGGAGCGTGGCGAGGAGTCAACCGGATGTGTATTCTCACCAATAAATCCTGCGTTGATTACATGGTTGCCAATAAAGACAATTTAATATTAGTTCAGCATGGGTATACTTGTACATGTAACTAGTGAGTTGACATGTTTTATTGTGATACAGCCAGTGGTGGTCCGATTAATTGAAATAATCGAAGATTGGTCGTAGTGACTAAACGACCAAGCAATCGATCATAATTTCTCATAATCAAACACAAACAATTCTGGAACGCTTGTTTTCATTAACAATATTTTTCACATGGTTGGTTTTGTCTGTTACATTTCGTAAGCACTGCAATCTCGTTTCAAGTCATGATTGAATTTATCTTAAAGATTCCAAGAAATTTATGTTCCCAACATACTAATCATCCTTTAAAGATGTGAAATTTTGCTAAAAACCCTAAAAGAACTACGTTTTTTTCCTTATTTTTATGTGCATTAACAAATTTCATAAATGACGCTAACCAATTATTTTCGATGATTGATCGGTAGTAATGAACCAATCATCAAGTATGAGATTTCAACCAATTCCCAACACTAGATACAGCATTGTACATATGAGAGTGACAAAACTGGTTCACTTCTAGTCGGAGATAACCGTGTCGAGATTAAAAATTAGAAACTAAATGGACCCCGTCATAGCAGGATAGTAACAACGTAATAACTCACCAGTTAATCAACTAGTCATTACAGTGCTTACAGAAGCAGCATCACGGATAAAAAGGTAAATTATCTATGACTTTGTATATGACTGACCTCCTTCACAGCAAACACGATCTTTCTCATTCTCTGGTAAGGTCCCTCCAACAGATGGCGCTTGTGTGTCTCCAGCTTGGAGACGAGAGCTGTCAGATTACGTCGTATGACTTTCAGCCTCATGTTGTAGTACATCTTCTTCTTAGTCACCGTAGTCTGTAACATGGGCCACAGATACATCAATAACTTCCGAGTCATTCTTTGCAACTTCATAACTCAAAAAAACATTTCAGCCACACCTACACACAAACCAACATATATATGCTATTATAAATATAAAGGATTAAGTGTAAGAAATCATTATGACACAAAAGCAGCTGAGTCAACAAAATGTCTGGGTTTTTTCTAATTTGCATTATTTCAACATTTTTCATCCGAAAAGCTCTTCGGTAAAGGTATATCAAATTGTGCTTAGCTGAAAAAATGTCACCACATAATTCATTAAGATAGTACAGGTGGAACATTTCTGTGAGAAAATGATGATTTGCACTAACAATGACACTGTCAGCATCTGTAAATGATTGACAGCCCCCTTTACCCTTAATTTCTGTTGTTTTTGTCTGATCCAGTTGGTTTACAAAAACACTTGAAATTCTTTGGGTTCTTTTGTTACACCATATGGTTGGTATTTGAAAAAACACATTGTTTCATGTTAATGTGCACACTTTGTTGGTTGTGGAGGGTTTATCTTTTGATAAGAAAGGCATTACCGGTAAAACAATTTATGACAAATTTTATTCCTAAATTGGATTTTCAGACTTCACAATAATACAAACTTTTAACCGATTTGTTCCCTTCTTTTTTGATCTTCATGACAAGTGGATGTGTAAACCTATCATAGAGATCTGTGGGTCTGTATTATGAAAAGAAAAATGCCTAAATCCAATCAAATAAAATTTCAACATGATGACAGTTTAGTGTCCAAATATTCTCCTATTCATAAAACTCGAACAAACTTGTAGAGGTTGCTGATTCTTTGATGAGAGTCCTCCTTGGGGTACATATAAGCATTAAAATGTCCATTTTTAATCCCTACGACAGTTGTAACTATATTTTGAATAAAATATTTGTATAACATTAAACAACAGAATGGACCCGTCCGCCAAGAACAGGTAACTCTAGGCACTAACCTCGTACCTCACTTTCCATGCTGAAGAAATACAGACAGAATGTGGGGAGGTGGGTGGCCATACCTCAAGGAGGACTCTCATCAAAGAATCAGCAACCTCTACAGGTTTGTTCAATTCTTTTCCATGAGAGATCTCCTTGGGGTACATATTAGCATAAGACAGACTCCTAAAGACAAAGAGTCCTGGGAGTGGCATTCTGTCTGATAAACTAAGCCCCCAACAAGTGGAATGTCCCAACTATAAAAAGAAGAAGTAACAGCTCACTTACCTGGCCACGTGACCTCTTCAGCCAATCAGGCGAGGACATGGTCCTGGGTCAGGGTTTATCTATTCTGCTCATATGCAAATGAAGCAGTGAACTATGCATGTAGTAAACAATAGCGCCCCACCCCCATTCCGAGTTTTATAACTACCAAGGGAGAGAGTGACATAAAATCCCATGAAACCACAGCCAAGCATAGATTTCTAAGGAAAAAAATGTGCAATATTGACATACGGGGACAACAAACCATCACCATAAAAACCTAACACCAAGTGTTAAGTCTTAGATGTGGCTACTGCTCTAACCGAATGAGCTTTTAACCCAGTAGGTGGTGTTAACCCTTTCTGTGTATAGCTCGTACAAATGGCAGAGACAAGCCACCTAGATTTGGTCTGCTTGTTCGCCGGAAGGCCAGCCTTACCTCCGCCATAACAGCAAAACAATTGGTTATCACACCGAATAGCCAATGTCCGCTTGATATAAGCCTTGAGGGTCTTACGCACATCTAAGACGTGAGCACGCCGAAGAGAGGTACCCGGTCGGGAACGCTGATTGAAAGCTGGAAGCTCAATAGGCGCTGTGACATGAAAGGCGCTGTCTCTCTTAGGACGGTAAGTATCCGGCAACTTAATGCTAACTGTCTTTATGGAAAACAGTTAGCTGGGGGTCGGCTGACATTGCATGAATGCCGCCTAATCGCCTGCCAGAGGTTACCGCCACAAGAAAAGCTGCCTTCCACGTCAACAGCTGGAGCTAAAGAGCCGACATATCGTACAAGATGAATGACAATTCCCACGGGCTGGCATCACCCGTATGTTGTACTGGTCACACCATAGCAGAACTGCCATGCCTCCTGTAGCAAGGGCGCTGATACCGTGCCGCCTTGCTTCAGGATATAGGTCATGGCCGTCTGGTTGTCCATCTCTAAACGAACCACTTGGCCATGAACCTGATCCACAAAGCTCTCGGAACACCCGTCGGACTGCTCTCAATTCTAGCACATTGATATGCAGACTGATCTCGTGCTCCGCCCAAAGGCCCAAGACTGACCTGTCGCCCAGAACACCCCCCAACCTGAGAGGGAGGCATCTGTCTGAATTGAGAGCGTGGGCGTCGGGGACTCCAGAGGAACGCCCCTGGATAAGTTCCCGGTGTCTGACCACCACCACAAGTGAGGGGTTAACCAGTCGGGCACCTAGCAACTGGAGCCACGTCGAGCTGAAGCAGTGGGAGTCTCAAGAAACTGTAAAAAGTTCTCTGAACTTTGGCAATGCGGTACTGAGACAGGGAAACAATCCCCGTCTCTGTATTGAATCTCGCCCCCAAGAAAACCAGATCCTGTGTCAGAACGAGTTCTGATTTCTTGAGATTGATGATCCATCCAAGTCATATGAGAATATCCATCACGTGATATGTGGTATTCCTGCTCAACTGCTGGCCTAACGCCCGGAGCAGCCAGACGTCGAGGTATGGGTGACAAAACCTACCCTCTGACCTGGCTAACTGAGCTGGGATTAACATGAGTTTGGTGAACACCCTTGGTGCCGTGGAGATGCCGAAGGGGAGCACACGAAACTGGTAGCACTTCCCGTCGAAGGAGAACTGAAGGTACTTCTTGAAGTTGGGGTGCATTGGTACATGTAGGTAAGCGTCTTTGAGATCGATTGACGTGAGCCAATCCCCTGTCTCGACAGAGGAGATCACTGAGCGCAGTGTCTCCATCCTGAAAGACGGCACTTCTGTCATATTGTTCAGCCCTTTAGATTGAGTATGAGTCTGAACCCTCCATCCTTCTTGGTCACTATGAAATACGTGGAGTAAATCCCTCATTTTCGTGACCTTCCGGAATTACCTCGATGGGACCTCAGCACGGAGAATGTCCGCCTTTTCCCGAGAGGTGGGCACAGGAGTGTGATGCACCCCGGTGAAGGGCGGCGGACCTCGCTTCCACTGTGGCATATCGCCATCCCTGAGTGTGGACAGGACCCAGGGATTTGAAGTGGCTTTCACCCATTCCGAGAGGAAGAGTGTGAGCCGGCCGCCTACAGGGACGTGTGGCATGAGGCAGTGCACTCCCACAGTCGGCAAGTCTCTGCTTGCGTGTGTGGGAGGCAACAAGGGCGTCCAAGGGAGATTTAACGGGAACCCTGGGCTGGCTTCCCCTTTCCCTGAAAAGGTTGCTGCGCAGCTACAGCCTTTCCCTTGCCTTGTGCCCTCCTGCTCTTCTTAACCTGCAGTGGAGCAGTCCACTTTGCAGGCTCCTTCAGGTGACTAAAAGGTGACAACTCCTTTGAGACCCTAGCTTTCTTCGCCCCCGGCTCAACCGGTGGCGCGGAGCTAGTGGAAGATTTGTTCTTATGTGATCTCTTGGAAGGGGAGTCCTGATCTCAGATATCACAAAAAAAATTTTAATGCTTATATGTACCCCAAGGAGGATCTCTTATAAAAAGAATATGAAGGCAATAAAGTAAGATAAAAATCACTCTTACTTCTGCCAGATCACTAAGCTGCTTAGCGGTGATGTCGTATGTGTCGAGATGCAGCAGGTTTGGTAGATGATACAACACATGAATGGAGTAGTTACAGAGCTGGCTCACAGGACAGGCAGCATAGAGGGGATCCTTCAGACTCACACTGGTCAGATGAGGGAACCGTGCAAGGTTGGTCAAGTCCTATAGTGACCAAAAAACATCATTAAGAGTATTATTATACATGGGACCGTTCATAATTTATGGCTAGGGGGGGTGATGATGCAAGTACAATGTGAATGACCCCCCTAAAATTTATGTACAAAGTATGTGACCCCCCACACCCACCCCTGTATGTCATGTACAAAATAAATAACACCCCCCCACACACACACCCATAATGTTTAAGCATAATTTCTTTATATTTTACTGTACAAAATTGATGCCAACCCATTCCCCACCCTGTACCTCCCTAGAACAAAATGGGTGACCCCCCTTTAAAATCATCATCACCACACACACCATACCCACGCACACATACCCAACCCAACCCCACACCCACACACCCCAAAGCCATAAATTATGAACAGTCCCTAAGTAAAAGAGACAATACAAATAGCAATTTTCTTTAGGCACTTTGGAACAAGAGTCATCAGAAGATGACATATTCCCCCGGCACCCACATATTTGAAAGAACAAATCATCTGACTAAGTCAAAATCGGTTCCATGGAAAGCATGAAAAATATAGATGACCAAAATCTGTAAATAGCAAAAGGCACCACTTCAAGATCTGTCTAATATATCTGCCAAGTTTTGTTGAAAGATATTGAACGGTTTTCTAGTTGTGCTCCGGAAATGAAGCCCACCCCTCCCTTTTGAGACTCAGTCCAAATCGTTTCCATGGAAACCGGGGAAAATAAAAATGACAAAAATCTGTAAATAGCAAAAGACACCACTTTGGGATCTGCCTCACATATCTGCCAAGTTTTGCTGAAAGATATTAAGAATTTGTCATTGTGCTCCGGAAACGAAAACCACACCTCCATTTTGAGACTAAGTCCAAAACATTTTCCTTGGAAACCGAGAAAAATAAAAATGACAAAAATCTGTAAATAGCAAAAGGCTCCACCTTAGGTTCTGTTTGATATATTTGCCAATTTGTGTTGGAAAATATTGAATGTTTTTAGTTATGCTCCGGAAACAAAATCATTACGGACGGACAGACGGATGAGGCGTCGACTATGTCCCCCCGCATTACATGCCGGGGGGATAAAAATAAATAGTGAGGAAGGACATTTTGTATTGGGATGAACATTTACTAATTCATTATGACCTAAATTACAAACACATTAGTTTTTTCAGACAGTTAAAATCAACATCATATCATTTCATGGACACAATTGTTGCCTTTAATGGAATAATGTCAATCGAAAGACAGTGGTATTTGAATACACAATGCGTTTTACACTTTTCAGGAGAGGGGGGGGTGGGGAAGAAGAGAGGTTGCAGACTTTGTGTGCTGGTGATGGAGAGGCTTACATTAAGAGTATGGTATTCCATCCTGGATGGAACATAAGATAAAGATGTGCTAGAACTTGTACTTTACTTACAAAGTGTAATCCCAAATTATATACCATATGTTACTCTATCCTAACAAACCAGATTGTAAAAACAAAATGCTTAAAACTCATAATTCACAATTGTTTGGTCATGCTGTACTACATCAGAATTTCGACAAAAACAAAAAGTTTACCTTTAGAGATGATATCTTGTTGCCAGATAAGTTGAGATCTTCCAATCTGATGTTGGCATCAAGTGTTCTGCCTGCAATTAACAATGACCAGAATTCATTTCTGTACCTGTTGAGACATGAGACAGTAGTGAAGCTGAAATGAAAGTGGACAAATATATATATAGTCAACACTATGAAACAGCAGAAATAACAGCTCTTATGATGGGTATTTTTCTGTTGCAGGTCTGAAAACCCACAATCAATTATACAACAGTCAAGTGGAAAATATTACCTATTTTTTCTATCTTGTTTTCAGCCAAATTCAGCTCCCGCAGTTTCATGAGTGTAGAGATATTCTGAAACCCAATAAATCATTAAAAGGTTAACAAGGCAAAATTGTACCAAGCTGACATGGTACAAAGCGATCTTAGAGCTAAGATGATCGTAACTCCCATACCATAACATAGTGAGTGAGTGAGTATGGTTTTACACTGCTTTTAGCAATATTCCAGCAATATCACGGTGGAAATGGGCTTCACACTTTGTACACATGTGGGGAATCAAACCCAGGTCTTTTGTGTAACGAGCAGACGCTTTAACCCCACTAGGCTACCAAACCGTAGATTTACTAGTACCACTGTCGTAATGGTATGGTTACTTTGTACAAGAACAACAATCAGATACCATATGGAATTCCATGAGCATGATGAGACATAGAAAGGGCATTATTGGTAGGATGCCTAGTTATTATAAGAGAAAATTATGTCATACATAAAATGATACCCCAAAAATATTTCTGACATTACTTCTATTTAATTTCATTTCTGTCTGGATTCACATCAACTAGACATCCTCTGAACCTACAGACTAGAATCAAAGTGAGCTGGTTACCTCTATGTTTGTAATGTTGTTGTCATTGAGCCACAGTACTTCCAACTGTGACAGCAGAGAGACATTTTCTATCAGGGAGATCTGGTTCCCGTACAAGTACAATTTCTTCACTTGCTTGCATACTTCCACATTTTCAATTTTCTGAAAATATGAAATGACTCATGTACAGAACCGTAAACTAAATTCGTGGATAACCTTGATTCGTAGATCGCGGAAATTATCATGCTAGCTCGTAAATTAAGTCTCGACTGACATCAAGAAGCGGTACTTTTGATGTACATACAATACCACGCCTTGCTGACAAAAGTTCCAAATCTCTTCATTACACGCCTAAGTACACTCTGTCATGAGATAGATAGCACTAATACTTTACCAAATTTTACTTTTTTACAAAATGTCAAGTACACTAGATATAATTGTCCAGCACTGAGATAAATAGCCCCATATCTTGAATACCCAATCGATGGTCAAAACAAAATGAAATGCATTTAATATAGTTGCATACTAATCAAGGTTAACGCAAGTGTATATATTTCGTAATGTATCATATCTTTATGGGTATGGGTATGAAACTTGTGCGTCTACCAGTGTCGAATCGCATTGACCTGTGTCGTAACGACTTGACCTGAGATTCTAATGATTTGATTGGATAACCGATGACCTCAATTGAGTCAAACTGAGACATTATATCCGTCTTACATAAACACAACGTTTCCACCAGTGATGTTAGCCGAAAAGCAACTGAAGCGGGGTGCTACGGAGAATTTACTGTAGGAGGCTGCGGCTGATGACATGACATGCATCGTGGCGTCGGTTACCAATTGGCGCTCATTACAGCTATTTTGTCAATTTAATGCATGTAAGACGTGGGTAATAAATAAAATACCACATGAGGTTTCATTACATACGAATTATACGAAACTTGTGACCTTCCTATGTTATCTGACCTCGCTTTCGCTGATACCATAGGAAGGACACTCAGTTCGTATAATTTGTATGTAATGAGACCTCATGTAGTATTATCTATCTATGCACCATCAGCATTATAACTCAATTAATGCACTCTGAGGGAGTGTTTCCTTTTCTGTTTTGTTTGTATTTTGGGATGAGGGTAGTAGGTTGTGTGATAGCAGGGTAGAGGAGTGGGACTTGTCTAGGGAATGTATCATACATTGTGGGAGACTCCCAAACACTCCATGTAACACCTTTTCATGACTGCCATCCCCACCAAATATGTGACTTTTTTTCCTAACTACCCCTCCCAATAATATATTACCAGACTCTAAATAATGTTCATACATATAACTTTCATATCATAACTGTGTTGTTATTTTTGTACTCTCCCTCAATCATATATTTGTGATACAACACCAAATCTCATGTTGTTTAATGCCCCCTTAATCTCTCTTCCCACACCCCAACCATCATAAACAAATGCATGAAAAGTCACTTATACAGTATTTATAACTTGTAAACATTGTAATTATATAATTATGCATGTAAAATTACACAGAACTACATAACCATAGCCATTAGCTGTAAATAAATCATTCTAAATCAAGTATCTTTTAGTTACAAAAATATATCAATGACCACAGTTGTCAAGTAATCCACAAACATAATTGGTTATTAAGCATGGCATTAAACAAAACTCTAACCTTGATCTGACATTCACACAGCCACAGTTCCTGCAGTTTGGTGAGAGCTGACAATCCATCTATCTTGGTGATAGTTTGACCCATAATTGTCAGCGTGTGCAGGTTTGGGAAGTTTTGTAACCCAACAATTTTAGGGAAGCCGGAGAAAAACATTTCAATAATGTAAGCATTTTCTCCTTCACCACTTGATAACTTGCTGTAGTTGAGGCCATTACAAGCACACTGTAAAGAGAACAGTTGACATTTTATTATAAGTTCATCAGTTGAATAACAAGACCCTGGGTAATCTTCAAATTTTAATTTTCATATCCAAACTGTACTATTTTTTCATGTACCATATAAACTTAATTTTGATTGTACCACCCATATCCCCTACACAGAGAGAGAGAGAGGTAATATGATTTTAATTTAAGGGAGGATACGGACAGGTCTTTCCACATTTTGTGTACCCCAAATCAGGTGATTATTTCGTAATGTCCCCTGAATGTTCTCTTTGTTGAGATGTTGAATTACCACTGAATATGAAAAAGATAACGTCATATAGATTGTGTTTGGGGTTTTCCCCCTAAATTTGCTCTCAATTGGCTTTAAATTTAAATAGTTCAGATCATGTAGATAAATCCCTTCACTCATGCAGCCACCAGACATCTCTTAATCTTCTACCTAGAATGTTTGTCGAAGCATGTAACAGTACCAGGTACTACATTTATGAAAAACAATTGAAAGATAACAATTTGGATTAACTCTTGAATGAATCATATTATTATGACTGAACTGATAAACTGAACACTGTAGATCACACCCTGAAAAGGAAAAATACGATTGCTATAGAAAATCATGAGTGCCCCTGTGGATCCCCATGAAAAGTTTAAAAAGTCTATAATAAAGAATATAACTGACAGTCAATAAGCTTATCAGAATCAAAAAGAGTCTTACTATCTCTCTCAGTATCTCCTCCTCAGCACTGTTGGATGTGATCGGTTTTGGTGCTACATACTCTGTCTTTGACACTGACTGAACAGGTCCTTGACTGGACCCAGATCCTGATGTGGTTGTTGAGGGAGTGTCCAGTGAGCTTATTGTTGATCGCGTGGTGCTTGAGGCAGACATCTTGACAGATGCTGGGTCGGAATGCTATAGCCAAGTTGTCACTCACATCTCTGCTTCATGTATGTTTGACCACAAAACATCAGACTGATGAAAATAGTTCTAGTTCTGAAACATGTATACATGCAGATTTTGATTGAGATATGTTGTAAGATGTTGAAAGTTGATATAGTACTTAACTGAAAATATTAACCTGACTCAAGGTGCAGTTGGGACAGTAGTCCATTTAAGCTAATTAGTTCTTAGTCATGTTCTTAGTGATATGTTAGTTGACAAACTATGCAGGATATGATGACTGGTGTCAAACTGTTTCAATCTGGTGTGTCTGCATTTAGAAATGTTTATATTTATCCTTGTACATTATGGGTTTGAGATACATCAGAAATACACAGTTTTTCTAGGCCGCTCGGGCGGTGGGGTAGCCTAGTGGCTAAACTCAAAGCGTTCACTTGTCACGCCAAAGACCTGGGTTCAATTCCCCACATGGGTACAATGTGTGAAGCCCATTTTTGGTGTCCCCCGCCATGATATTGCTGGAATATTGCTAAAAGTGGGGTAAAACCTAACTCCCTGACTCTAGGCCAACTCTTACCTAAACAATAACTTCATCTTAAAAACAAGTCAGTAGCAGCAACAAATCAGAGTATTTAGCAAAAAACATGGAATTCCAAAAGCGTATAATGTTTGAAAACATAACTGAATGATACAGTAATCGAAAAAATGGTAAACAAATACGCAAATGCAAATCTGCTGTGCCTTTTATTACTTATGTGGCAATCATTGCGGGAACATAGTTCTGTTGAAGTGTAAAAGCTGCTTTGAGCATATTTCTATTTTAGATAAAGGTTCAAAATAAATGTACAGAGCAGAATATTCAATACATCTATAGAATGAAACCGTTCTTACTACTGTCAAAGTGTCAATCACAGAAATTTGTTTTGTTTTTCAAATCAAACGAATTGTTTGCGTTGTCACATTGACTGAAGCGTTATGAAAATGTCACGCTGCACAGACCAATTTAGCCCAATGTGATACTAGCCTATAACAGAATGCCCTATTTATAGAATATGTACACTTCGGTACAATGTCTGTGAAATTTCCATATTTTAAATACGGTTTACACAAATATTCAAAAAATTGAATTAACAAAATACTTGCTAAAAAAATAGCATGCCTATCCATGACAGAGCTCATGTTTCCTTGTACATAACAAGATCGGAAAATGCGTCTGTTATCCTCCCTTTGAAAGCATTTGCTCCTTTCTTCAGAGTCATTTTTAGTCCATTTCAATGTGTTCAATTGTGACTATCGCAAAGGCTTATGACAAAAAGTAGATACGACGTAGCACAAACACAGACCAGACGATAACAATATGATGTACGTCCAAAAAACTCACTGTTCACTTCCGAGGGCCGCCATATTGAAGCCGTGTTTACAATTGTGATTGGGCTATTAAGGTCACGTGTCACAGGTCATCGCTAGGGCAACCAGGTCATTAATGGGGAGGGAATTTCAAAAATGGACTGAAAAGAGACGAAGTGTGCCGTCACATCGGTATTGTTCCCGCCGTATATAGGCTATACTACCATAACATCAAGACCTTCACTAAATACAAATGCCATATTTTACACACAATGCTTTACACAGTACGCCAAGATGTTGGTGGTCGACCGTTTATGAACCTCGACAAGTTTATGAAATTTTATTTCACGTTTCTCGCCCAACTGGTTTGTCTTTGATGCTGGTTTCATTTAATCCATATCATTGTTTTCGTAAAAAAAAACATATAGGCCAATTCCACAGTCAAGGTGGCAGGACTAAGGTGCTGGAAACAAACACTGTTAGGCATAAGGCATATATCATATCATATTCCGTAAAAAAAACCTCAAAACCTGTTTTTAATGTAACAGAGATTTTACAAATTGAGCATGGAATAACTGTAATGTATTAACCTTTCACAAGGAAGACGTGATTTTTAATGACATTTGTTAGGGTTATCGATACCATAGAAATTTGAAATAGAGCATTCAATTTCACTAAGAACCAATATAGCTAAATTTAACTTTTAACAGGTCAGCTGAGATATTGTTCTTTTGAGTCTTACAAAATAAGATTCAGATCAAAGTGTCCAGGATCAAATGTGAAATAACAATATATAGCAAACTCAGATTGCCATACATATATATAAATCATACTTTAAATAGCTAGGGAAATACCGACGACCGAGCGTTTTGTTGACGTGCCGTGTGCACACCCGATGACGAAAAGGGGAAGCAAATCAGATCTTGCGTTTGGGGACAGACAAAATTATTTGTTTCTATGTTGTTTAACGCCGCACTCAGCGATATTCAAATATGGTGGTGGTCTGTAAATGATCGAGTCTGGACCACTCTATCCAGTGGTCAACCACATGATCATCGATCTACGCAATTTAGGATACAGTAGGCAAAATGAAACGACTTCAATGAAAAACATAGCTTCACTTATTCTGATAGGGTCACTCTCCATCGATTTACCCTGCATACAAAATTATATACCGATCTGAACCCAGACTTTCTTTGTCGTATCGTTTCGTATCCAAGTGTAAACCGAACTTTGATATCTCTCAATACACTTGGGAAACATACTGAAGGTGAATGCAGACTTTTTTTGCATTATGGGTGATAATCGTGACGCTTCGCACGTTATTCTTTACACTTGGGAAACACAGTCTCGACCTTTTCCTTCTTTCCAAAGAGCTTATCGTTAAACTTATGTTTGTACATTAAACAAAATGCAAATTGACCGTTATACTTTTCCCCAAATGTATACGCATATTGCGGTTACGGGGGTTGATTTTTGTGTGTGTTCAAATTCATGCGTAATTTCAGCCTAGGCTTCGTTATTCCAATTTACTTTTGATCACAACTCAAGCATTTTTTACCGGAGAAAAAAAGCAATGAGCTACCAATACATACGGACTATATCTGACCTTTGTGAATGATAAGTGTTCCTTTGCCGAGGGGCTTACAGCATTACAGCATTCATGCACGAGTGACAGAAGATCTCTAATTCTGAGGTTCGAGAAGGATATGTACTGTATTCCCCACTGGCATTTTAAGAGATGAAATGAAGAATTAAAGGCATGAAATTTCCACTCAAAGGAACAATTTCACGGAAGACACGTGATACTTACGGACACGTAATGCGATCAATTTGTGACATCATGTGCAAGAGACGAATTTTATATTGTATTTTCTTTAAAAGGAAACAACGTGACGTTACTTGGCTTGAACTGACCAATCATCAATGAAAATGGACATGTACAACTATCGAAAGTTCGACTATTTTCGGGTCCAAAACGACCTGGATCTGTTTGAAGGCTAGCACCGGACTCCCGTACTTTATGCCTTGAAAACAACGCGAGCTTTAGTAAATAAAATATACATGTACCTGCTGTTATAAGTATTATGTCGAACGAAGAAAGTCTTGTTACCTACAGAGATTATCCTTCAGTTGTGTTTTGACGTAAAACCTTGAGTTGCCTGACATAAAGAAAACAAATATGAAGGGTCACCTGTACAGGTAACAAATTATTCCTCCATTGTTAGTTATTGAGCAGTGCAACTATTTAGTAAGTAGTCTAATGTTGAGTCACACATCTAAACCCCTATGTTATGACATATTATTGTGAAATGTTCAGAAGGTACGTACTATTATTCGGGCGTCGACCGCCATAAAATACTTATTGATAGAATGTTGCCACTGGCATTAACAAGCCATTTAAATGGCATATATTCTAATCTATCTGTCTGTCTGTCTGTCTATCATTATTGGTTCTATCTATCTATCATTATTTGTTCGTTATTATTCATATCATTACATAGGGTACTGTTTGGTAGCCTAGCGGTTGAAGCGTTCGCCCGTGACGCCGAAGACTCGGGTTCGATTCCCCACATGAATACAATGTGTGAAGCCCATTTCTGGTGTCTCCCGCCGTGATATTGCTGGAATATTGCTAATATCGGCGTAAAACCAAACTCACTCACTCACTATCATTACATAGATACACATATATACGTAATGCAGAGGTAACTACGAAATCTCACAGCACATCTGCAAAATCAATAATACATCTCTAACATCAATAATGTAAGTTATTGTGATAACCCGATTTGACAAATCCCTCTCCTACAAAACCACATTTAATACAAACATCACACACAGCTGGTATGGTAACTGAATACAATTTGACAAATAATGATTATTTGATTTGACAAATCCTCCTCTTGTTCATCTTGTTTACAGCATAAAATCTTTCCCCGAGGATAAAAAAAACATCATCGCAGTAAACACCGTGACGCATAATAATCACTGCTCCCATACCCCCATTTCTCCCAGGCAGTTTTCTTATTTGAGTTGTAGATTATCAATATTTTGTTATCGTAGACGGAGAACATTATAAAGCGAAAACATTGATCCCAATTTAGGGGACATGACCCAGTATATGTCGCCACAGCTGGTTGTTAACCGTGGCGCAGTACACCGACGTGCCCTCTTCAGGTAAGACTTGCTTTGAGAGGTGATCGATGTGAATTTTATTAGCACCGTTTAAACTATGTTTTAAAGATTGCTCGTAATTTGAAACTTGCTGGATATTTTGCAATAATGTATAATAATTCATTATATTACAAGATTAGGTGCATTGCCTCCGGATACTTTGTATGTTTACAGCTGACAGTGTTGTAATGGGTGGGGTAGCCTAGTGGTTAAAGCGTCAGGGCGGGTTCGATTCCCCACATGGGTACAATGTGTGAAGGCCATTTCTGGTTTCCCCGGCCGTGATATTGGCTGGAATATTGCTAAAAAAGGCGTAAAACCAAACTCACCCACTACAGTGTTGTAAGGTTAACTCACATTAAAGTCGCATGACAAATATTTGTCGGATCGTACATTACCACACACCCATACTTAGTAGGTGGGTAAAAGTGAAATTGTCGTGTGGTGGTGATGTATTTGATACCTGTAACAAAGCAATATATCAATTGGCATTTTACAACGAGTCGTGCCTTTTGATGACGTTTGTAAAAACAAATCACTCTCGGTTGGCCGGCAGTTTGTATGTCGATATTTTTCACTAGGGGGGATTGGGTAGAAACCGGAAATGGCTTCACATATTGTACCCATGTGAGGAATCGAACCCGGGTCACAGTGTGACGAGCGATCGCGTTAACCACCACTAGGCAACCCAGCCGCCCCACATTTAATAGATAATCCGAACTGTTAATCGTATTTTTCTACCATCCGCGGGACAGATAGAATCAAAGGTTATGTCGTGCTGTGACAGATGCAACAGACGTAATATTAGCCAAGATAAGCCACGACAGGCCGGCAATCTGTCAAAAGTAGGGATATTTGGAGGATTTTCTTGTCGAAAAACCAAGGGTGCCGTTGTTCAAAGCGATCTTAGGGCTACTTAAGGTGATCTTAACTCCCATACCCTAACATAGGCATAGGACTGCATGTCGTAGCGCTATAAGGTTGTTTTGTACAATTACGGCACCCGGGCGTGAAAGTGATGCCATATCAGTCCGCAGATTATTACTTCAGGGGATCAGTGGCGATTACCTACCATTCTAAAATCGGAGGCATTGGCCAAAGATAAATCAGGGCAGAATCTGATAATTCCAAGAGAGGAATAATTCCCTTTTTTCGTTTGAGTGATTGTCCGAGTTTGTATCCAGCCATGCAGCTTCAGTCAATACATTATGGCCAGGAAGCAATGTTGGTGTACATGGATTAGCTTTGACCCACCGCTGCGTCCGACAGGATGTTGAAAATACATTGTACTGCATATTCAGGAGCTATAAAAAGGCTCCCAGACAGATCCTGAAACCGACCGTCTAGCAACTAATTAATGTATGCAGGAGTTATACAGAATCTCCCACATAGATCCTGAAACAGACTGACCGAGTGATACAGTCTCCAAATAATTCAGGTATACATGTACACGAGTGTTATATTGTCTCCCCCACAGGCCCCGAAACAGACCTGTTGATGAATAATTCATGTATACAGGAGTGAAATATACTCTCCCACCCAAGATACGAAACATACATGTTGATAAACAGAGGTTACATACTTTCTCAATAATAAAGGTTATAATGAACCTTAAGTAACCCATGCTTGTCGTATGAGGCGACTAACGGGATCGGGTGGTTAGGCTCGCTGGCTTGGTTGACACATGTCTTCGGTTCCCAATTGCGCAGATCGATGCTCATGCTGTTGCTCACTGGATTGTCTGGTCCAGACTCGATTATATACAGACCGCCGCCATATAGCTGGAATATTGCTGAGTGCGTCGTAAAACTAACTTCACTCACTCACTAAAAATAAAGCTTCTTATGTAGCTCTTAACTTCACACGGGTGTATGCTCAAAGCGTTAAACCGT